TAAAATAAAAATTTCATGATCTAAAAACTCATCGTTGCTGAGAAAAAGTGACCTGAAGTTTTAACTTCGAACTCGATTTTCTCGAAAACTACTGATCAGATCAGAAAAAAATAAATATATTTGGACTTCATATTTGTGGTTCTACAAATACAAAAAGTTTCAACTCTTAACTCAAAACTAAAATTCGGCGACCATCCTCCTTTGGTTTAGTCTTGTTTATTTTCTGGTCACTATATTTTCCATCTATTTTCAACATCGTTCACGACTGAATACTCGATATCCTTACGACCACCTCCAATCAACAAATGGTCTGACCTAAATTCACATCCTAGAGTTAATTGCATCACTCTCGACCCGTCCATTTGCCTGGGGCGAGTGAATGAAGAATATGGCTTTTCAAATCCCCTCATTCCTATCACAAGTGCAGTTTTCGAATATTTTGGCCAAAATCTTGATAAACCAATTTTACCACTTTTTTTTCAACACAATTTTTTCTTATCATTTTCACTACTGTTTTGTGTGGCAAAGCTGGATAACCATGGGGTCAATAATTTTCTTTACCATGCTGGTACACGTCAATATTATGAAGATTTGTATGCACTCATTTATAACACCAAGAACCCTCATAAGAAACGTTGGATTATGAAATGTTTATACGCAAGTATTGATCAAGGATATTGGGCTGTTACCTCAGATCGAGTTTATATCAAGATTTTTGGTCCTTTGATAAGAAAAGATTATCCACAATGTTGGCGCTTCGAAAAGCTTAATACTCAACCTCAAAGTTCATATCGACCAATTAACTATTCTAATTTCTCTGGGTTGCTTTATCTTTATTTGTCACTTAATTCTCTCGCGTTTTTCGCATTTATCATTGAACATCTTACCATGAAATTGACAAAACGATATCCTTTGGTTTTTGGAAACCTTCAGCAAGCTGGGTGAAACTAATTATCAAATCGCTTGGTCATTTCGGTCTCGTTCATACTAGAAGCTCGATTGATACTTCAGGTTGTTTTAAATAAAAAATCATCTATACAAAAATAATAACAGAGAAATAATTAATATGATGAAAGATATGGTTCTAACGATTGTATTGATTTTAACTTTTGTTCTAATTAGATTTGGCTTAAAAAGATGGAGTTACAGTCGATCAATTTACTCGATATTAGAAGTTGTATCTATTACAACATTGGACCAAGAAATGTCAAAATAATGAAGTTCTATCAGATCGAACTTCTCATCTAATAACTTAGAATAGTGATAATATTATGATTCGATTAACTATTAGTAAATATTAATAATTAATATGTTATTTTGTTTCCAATAGCTTGAAAATCGTTGCCTGAAAGCTTTATGAAATTTTCGTTGGCAATTGTGTCAACTAAATTATCGATTGTTGGTAGAGCATGGAAACATAGTATTGATGATATTAAAGGAATTTAATTGAAGAATCATAATTAATTGATGAAAGGTGAAATGAAAATCTAATCAATAAAATAAAATGAAGAAAATCATCGGAGAGAAACTAAAACCTTTGGATCATTTTGAATTTACTCTCGAAAGTTTAAGTTTTGACTGAAATTTTTATTTCGAAGCTCAGATGAAAATGAATTTCACTCAAGATTATTTTCAAATTTTCTACACCGTTTTCAAAAAGGATTTAAATCCGAAAAGTGAGATGTTTAGTTTGTTCCTTGCTTTTCCAACATTTTAGGCAACGTTCCAGTAGAATTTACATTTATTCCAGAGAATCGTGCAAATGAAAGTCATCTCTCGATTCTTTTATCGGGAAATTATGACCTGATGTTTAGGGAAAAAAACATCCATGAGTTCAGCTATGGATTGACCAATGTGACTATGAGTCCAGTGTTAAAGAGTAGCTATTGCGCCTTCTTGAACTTCTATCCAAACTCGTCAGCCCCTTCGATTGACAAAGGAATTTTATCATCATTTGAAATCATCGATTATTCAGTTTACCTTCTCATCTCACTTTTGTTTATTCTTGGTTTAATGATACGTTCCATTCGATCAATTTCGATAATTGGAGATAGAAACGAGAATATTAACAAATATCGACTCCAAAAGTTTCTATTGCTGATTAAGAGTAAATTTGGTTTAGTCTTGTTTCTTTCTTGTTCATTTTCTGGTCATTACATTTTCCATTTATTTTCAACATCGTTCACGACCGAATACTCGATATCCCTTCGAGCCCCACCAGTCAACAAATGGTCTGACTTATACCTCAACCACAGAGTTAACTGCACTACTTTTGCCGATCTCCCTTGCCTGGAGCGAGTGGATGAGATATATGGCTTTTCAAATCCTCTCATTTCTATTTCAAGCTCCAAATTTTATGAATATTTTCCCAACAAACTTGACAAACCAATTCTGTCACATTTTGGTATAGACTATTTGGTTTCATCAGTTTTAACACAATTTTGTATAGTAAAGCTAACAAACCATGGGGTCAATAATTTTCTTTACCATACTGGTACAGGTCACTATTATGAAGATTTGTATTCACTCATTTATAACACTACGAATCATTACAAGAAACGTTGGATTATTAAATGTTCATATGCAAGTATCGATCAAGGGCTTTGGACTGCCACTTACGCTCGAGCTCTTAGAAAGATTTATGGTCCCTGGTTGAGAAAAAATTATCCACAATGTTGGCGCACCGAAAAGCTGAATACCCAGCCTGAAAGTTCATACCAACCAACTAACTATTCTAATTACGTTGATTTTCTGTATCTTTATGCATTTCTTAATTTCCTAACATTTTGCGTCTTTATCATTGAACATCTCATTATGAAACTCAACAATCGATGTTCACTGGTGTTTGGAAACATTTAACAAGCTAAATTTTCATAATAAAAGGATAAAAATTTATATTGAAAAGTTTTATAGTTTTAGTTTATATTGAGAAGTTCAAGAAGGCGCGATAGCTATTCATTTCTATTTTACCTATCGTTAAATTGATTAATCCATAGCTAAAATCACGTATATTGTTTTCTTCATACATCAGGTCATAATTTCCCGATAAAAAGATTGAGAGGCGACTTTCATTTTCACGGCTCTCAGGAATAAATAAATTTTCTATTGGAACGTTTCCTAAAAAAATTAGATACAATGAAAACCATAAATTTCCCGTACATAGATTGGCCCTGGTCGTACAAAGCCACGAAAACTTTAAAAGGATCTTGAGTGAAATTCATTTTTATCTGAACTTCCAAATAAAACACTTATTGAACGTGGTTAATACCTTGGACAATCTAGTGAAGAATTGTAATGTTTGCTAAATACGCATTTTTCATTGAAATAGTCAGAGAATACTTAATAATAAATAAAAATTGACTTTTCATCTCCGTTTAATGATAAACTAGCCTGACTGAGAAAAACTCATCATTAACATCAATCAAAAGAATTAGTTTGATGAAGGTGTTGACAAGGTTTATGGTCGTGATAGTGGGAAACCTAATGACAATGACAGAAAATTCTAAAATTAATCACTTTAAAAGCATTTAATCGTAAAATCATACATGAAGGGTGCAAGTTGGGATAACAGTTCGATTAATATAATAGACAAAAAATGAACTCGGACAAAAATCTTTGAAGTGAAACTGAAGCCTTCCGATCATTTTATCTTATTCTTTGCTTTTGATGTTCAGATAAAAATGAATTTCACTCAAGATCCTTTTAAGGTTCTGTTCCCTTTCCACGGAGAAGCTTCGAAAGCCCAACAAATTTTGCTTTTCATTATATACGATATCTTAGGCAACGTTCCAATAGAACTTTCTATTCCGAAGAGCCGTGAAGATGAAAGTGACCTTTCAATTTTTTTATCGGGAAATTATGACATGATTCTTCGGCCAAGCTATATTCATGAGTTTAGCTATGGATTGACCAATGTTACTATAAGTCCAGTAGTAATGAATGACTATTGTGTCTTCTTGAATCTCTATCCAAACTCATCTACCCCTACAATTAACAAGGGAATTCTATCTGCATTTGAAATCATCGATTATTCTGTTTACCTGCTCATCTCGTTGTTGTTCATTCTTGGCTTGGTTGTAGATTTCATGAGATCATATTCGATAAATGCAACTGAAAATGGAAAATCTCGACTCCGAAAGTTTCTATTACTGATTAAGAGTAAATTTGGTTTACTCTTGTTTCTTTCTTGTTCATTTGCTGTTCACTACATTTTCCACCTATTTTCGGCATCGTTCACGACTCAATACTCGATATCATTACTACCACCACCACTTAACAAATTGGCTGACTTGCATTCTCGACCCGAAGTTAATTGCACTGCTTTTGCCGGGTACAATTGTTGGGCGCGAGTGAATGAAATGTATGGCTTATCAAATCCACTCGTTTCTATTACAGCAAGGGGACTCTCCAAGTATTTTCCCGCTAATTTAAATAAACCAATTTTACCACATTTTGGTACAGGTAGCTTTGTATCAATAATGTTACAATCATTTTGTTTCACAAAGACGCAAATGAATGGAGTTAATGATTTTCTCTACCATCTTGGAAAACTTTACTATTATGAAGATTTGTATGCATTCATTTATAACACCACGAATCATTATAAGAAACGTTGGATTGTTAAATGTTCATATGCAAGTATCGATCAAAGGCTTTTGTCTACCTCTTACGCTCAAACTCAAAGCAAGTTTCAGGGTCCTTGGATAAGTAAAAAATATACACAATGTTGGCGCTTCGAAAAGCTTAATACTCAACCTCAAAGTTCATATCGGCCAATTAACTATTCTAATTTCTCTGGGTTGCTTTATCTTTATTTGTCACTTAATTCTCTCGCGTTTTTCGCATTTATCATTGAACATCTTACCATGAAATTGACAAAACGATATCCTTTGGTTTTTGGAAACTTTTAGCAAGCTGAATGGGACTAATAACCAAATCAAGATCACTTTGGTCTCTTGTTTGAGTGCTGTTCTTAGAAGCTTGGATTTCGAAAGAGTCAGTTACTAAAGCAAGAACGATTTTATTTTCAATTGATTGGGTTATTTTTTTGTACAATTACAAATTCACAAAACTTGAAAAAAAGTTGAAATATTCCGATCGACTTCTGAGAAAATTATCTAATTAACCTACGGTTTGAATAGAGCAAATTGATAGACCATCAAATGAACCCATGGGCTTACTCGATCCAATTGATATTCATTTCGTTTATCCACTTCTTTTTCTAGATCCATATTCAGCAACGATATTATTGTAAGCGTTAACATCTTCGTCTCGGTGAAAGTTTTCATCTTCAACGCCATAACGTTCATTGAGATAGTAAAAGTCCCTGAGAATGAAAACAAAACCAATTAATTTGATTTTCTGATGGAATCGAATGTATTTTTCCTTCAAACCCTCAGGCAGTTAAAAAACTGTACGAACATATTGAAAATTGAATAAATTACTGAGCTATATATTGATTCAAATGATTGTATCATCTTAATACCTGCGATCGTTTTTTTCAGATCGAAACCATTAAGTTAAGTATCCTGCTGATTGTTATTTCTTTAGATTAAAAGTATTAATAAAGTTTCAATATGATCTCATAGGCTTTGACAGATTAACTTGTGAGATTAAAGATTGATTGATATTTGAGTTAAATTCAATAAATTTGTTACCTTGATTGTTCACATGGAATCGCATCATCTGGATGTGAACATGTTTGCGAGAATTGATTGAAAACAGTTTGATTTCCACAGATAAAACTGTAATGCTCCATGATTCCTGATCCATCAGCTAATTGTCGAGGGTGACAGATATGAAATATCTTACAATCATTGTCCATATCAGCATAATAACCAAATCTTAATCCTTCACATGAAAAGGTTTCCTTCAATGGTCCACCCAATAGTTTATCATAATCCATGGCTAATTCATAGGGTGACCTTTTCATCTGATATCATGTTAAACAAAAAATAAGATCACCAAGAAATCAACCAATTGATTTTCATCAAAATAAATATCGAAACAATTTGAGATTTAAAAAAAAAGTTAATGATGACCATCATTAAGTGTGTCCACTTAAAAAATGTCCTCTCTTAATCTTAACCTGATTGCAATTCATCAAAGCTTAATCTGAGTACTTAATCTTATCGTTAATGCAACAAACAGACATAAAACATGAGATTTAATTAAGTGTCTGTATCCGTTTTGATTACAATTAATTAACTGTTAAAAAGTTTTTCTTTCTTTTAAATAACATACATTTTGATACAGTTTCAAGTTAATTGTTACCTGACAGAAACTGTAAACATAAGAATTAACAATTTAATTGATGTTCTCAACAATAAAGAAACTTAATAATTGAGATGAATCCTTTAATTGAAATGTCAATTTGAGATGAAAATTGTTACTTTGATTGTCAAATTAATTAAATTTCCAAGAGAAATATACAAAAGGATGTAAAGAATAACATTTCCTAATCATCATCATGTATCCATGAGATGATCAAGTTTAAATTATCAACTTGTAATCATGAGAAAAGCCTTTCAATTGAATTGAATTAAATCATTGTAAATGTATAATCATTAATAATGTTACGTATGATTAGTATGTTGATTAAGATTTTGTAGCAGTTTTAATATTAAACAGATACACAGAAGCATAAATTAAATTAGTAAACAGTAAATCTACTTGATTAGAGGAACAACAAGAAAAAATAATCAAGTCTCACACTTACGATTAACTAAAGCTAAAAATCAACATTGATCAGGCTCGAAATCATGATAATCATGATGAAAATCAGGTAAATTTTTCCTTAATCATCATCTCTCCTCCTTCAACTTTACTATTACACCTTGGACAAAGTACTAACGATAACCGTAAACAATTAATGTAACAATTTAAATTTTCTTCTCTACATGATAATTAATTTTTCTTACTTATTATCTTTACATGACAGTGAATAGTTTACCAGTCTAATTAATCAATCAAATGGAAGTTACTTTCAAGAAAATTGTTATTACGATATTATTATTATTATTATTCAATTGAATATCGATAAACTTACCCTTGGTTTGGTTAATGTAAAGGTGATCGATAAAAGAAAAACTGTAAATGAGAAAAGTTTGAAAAAAGAACAGAAAAGTTTCGATTAAATTGTTATTATCCATGATGATGATACACAATTCGATTAGATCAACATTAGAGTTTGAAATAGATTTTAATTGACAATGGACACGAACTTATCAGCATAACGATAAGCACTTGATTAGAGGGAACAGATAATGTAAAGTTAATTGTAGATTAAATTAAATGAAACGTACCCAATGTAAGTAGAAAAAATTTCATTTCTGTTGAATTGGTTGGGAACTAAATGATATTTAAAATCGAAAACGAAATAAAAAAATAAAAGTGACGATGAAAACTTTTAGAACTTTTTGAGAATTCGATTAAGTGAAACACTTTGATTACAATATTGTACTGATCGACATGGACTAATTACTTAGGGTTTTTTATATTAAACTCGAAGGAACATCGATACGATATTATCAATGGAAAAGATGGAAAATAAAGATAAGAGAAAAGTCATTAGCACTGATAGAATAGAAGAAGAAAGTTTTCTTTCGAGTTCGAACTTTCAAAGAATCACTTTCTCCTTCATCTCTTGCAAAGAGGTGGAGTAAATGATATATAAGAAAAGAGAGAAGGCTGGTCATCTTCATTTAGAAGATGATGGTCAGTTTTGATCGTAATTAACCTCCTTCGATACAATAATAATAATAATAATAAAGTTACTTTTCATTGTAACGAAGGTGAAAAAGAGGATGAGCCCAATTAGAAATGTTCAATTGGAGTTGATGATGAGCAGATAAAGGATTCGATCAGTTTCCTCGTTCTAATCATTATCATCTCTCTCTCTCTCTCTCTTTAATGAACTTGTTGATTTCTCATTGTATCAGAATTCTGATTATCATCACCAATAAGGCAATGGAAAAGTGCTTCCATTTAAAAATGTTGATTCTATATTAATAATAATCAATGACACTTCGAATGGTACATTTTCCTTATATTGATCATGAACAATACCAGTAATTTGATTTTCGTTTCCTGATCATACTAATTATCACAATTACTGGAACAACTTATCACTCTAACAATATGAGCATTTCATTAATATCCTCGTGAGAAGTAAAATCTAACCTGATTAAGATCATGATTAATAACAGACTATGTGGTATGTAAATAACAGTTAATTCTATTAATTAAAGGTAATCAAACAATTAAGAATCAGTTAGAATGTTTGACAATCAAATATGAGAATAAAATTCATTAATCATGATTTAATTGTGTATTCTGATTATGGTTATGAACAATATACATGTAAAACTTTATGCTAATTCATGTATATTTTAACATGATTCTGTAACAATTAACTAGTTAATCAATTTAACAATTAAAACTATGTAACAAAATACAATCAACCAATGATTGTAAACAAAACAAAACAAAAAATGGGGAAAAAATTAACATTAAATTAAATTTCAAGTCTCTTTCTAATCATCATAATTAACGATCAACTTTCAGGCCTTTATAGATGATTAAGTTAATTATCCTGATGATGCTGATGATTAAGTTAATTGTGTTAAAATGAAATATTTTGATAACATGTAAATAATAATAATAATAATAGTAATTGTTATGTATGGGAATAGGTAATCCAATTACACTTGACCATTAATGAAGATGGTTGATTATAATTGTGATCACAATTAAAGTTACATTAAAATAACTGCAATAGTTAAGATTAATTGTCATTAGGAAAAAATTTATTACTTATCATTAGTTTGTTGATATTTATGATATGGAGCAATATCGTTAATCTAATCATCATCATCATTTCCTTTTCCTGTATTGTACAATTGGATGAAAAAAAAAGTTGTTCTATTTTTGAATAAATTGGTTGTTGATTAAAAACAATTGAAACATTATCTTGATTTAATTTGATCTCCTGCTACAATCAATCATTTCAACAATTGTAATGATGAGCAAGTTGATCATCATACTGTTTTACAGGTAAGTTTTGTACAATAATAATATATAAATTGCTATCGGATTAAATTGTTAATTGCGGTTAAATTATCCTAATTTAATTTACTTTATATTAATCAAGCACTAAATTGGTGTTTTCCAAATTGATTGGATAAACCTTTGAGCCTCTAATTGCAGCTCAATAAAAGTAGTAAGCTTAATTATCAGTAAATGTACCTGTTAGTGAAAATCAGTAAGTAATTAAATTGAGTAATTTAAACAATCATCATGATCACAATTCAATTATTACCGTTAACAAGCCAATAATTACTAATTATCATCAATAAATCAATAACACTACAGATCTAAACAACAACAACAACAAAAAGTAATGATTAATTGTTATCATTATCATTTACCAATCTTATTACCCTGTTTCCTGATACACTCATGAATTAATCAAGCTACAACTCAGGTAAATAATACACTAAAAAAGTTAATCACTCCATCACAATTAAGCCTGAAACTCATGTACAGTTTTTTTATTTTATTGTTGATGATGAGTATTAATGATGAAAAAGGAAACAGGTAAAACAGGTAAGAGTGATGGTCATTTTGACCATTCCTGTTTTCGCAATGCACTTTGTACGTAGTCAACATGTTCATCATCATGATTTATAAATATTACCATTAATTTATCAACTTCGTGATTCAAGATAAAGGTTGAAAGACAAGGTCGACTTATGAACAGTTTATTATTTCATATAAATAATATCTTGACCCTTGGCTAGTTAAATAAATAACAATAAAATTTGAATAAAACAAATGGAAACATTCAAATTGTTACACCACAATAATCATGATCATTTTTCATACTTCATCATCTGAATAGTTCTGACGCTTCTGATTAATATATATATAAAATCATTTACAATCAGTAGTAAAGGTGAGTTACAGGGTATACGAATTACCTGTTATCATCTTTATCGTGTATAAGGTTGAAAAGAAAACAAAAGAAATTAAATTGATTAATAATAACTTTTTTTTTCGACTCACAATATTATTGAATATTTAACTTTTTTCTGTTCACAATTAAATGATAAACGAGTGTAGGAGTTGCAAGTAGGTGTCCAAGAAGATGATTAATACTGACCACAAGCTTGGAACCACATCCATAGTAATTTGTTTTGTTTCTTTTTTTAATTAATCATGTTGATTTGTTAATTTAATTCTGCCAATTAACAAATTATTACAATCACACATTTCAACCTTTCTTTTCTCAGACAGTTCAATTAACAATCATCATTGAAATTCAAATGTTTAACCGGTGGTTTAATGATTTAATTTAATTTCTTTCACCAACAAAACATTATTATTAATACAAATACATTTACTTTAACAACTTTATTAGAGTCATGATTGTTTAACATAACTAACAATTAACCAATTACCATTTAGATAAGAATCAGTAACAATTATCATCATTCATCAATGGAGTGAATAAATTATTAATTCTGTCTCTGATTAACCAATAATTTAATAAACTTATAGGATTCAAATTAATCATGAAAGACTGAGTTTGATTAATTACTCTTCCAATATTAACAATTGTATTGATTTCGAGCAATAATTGTTGATTGACCATAGATTAATATTTAATCTGTACCAACAATCAAAGGTCAGTTTGAAGGATCCATTTGGGTCTTCTGATTGTTAATTGCTACTCCAGTAAATTAGTGACCATTAATTAATATTTTTTGATGATCAAATTTGATTCTACAACAAATTTAATCATGTACCTTGATAGCTCACCTTAATCCGATTAAATAATTCATACATAAATACAATGTTTATGATGACACCCAAAAAGTTAATTGTCATATTGTACTCTAGGTAACAATTAATTAACCCAATTCAAAATTTTGATAAAATTGTTAACTAAATTCAAGGTAAGTTGATAACAATCAAATAATTTTTATCAATTAAATGTTACTCCTTTTCCCTTGGAGTCTTAATTTAATTCAATGAAAATTTTACTCAATCATAATCCCGAAATTAATACAAACATATTCAACAATTAGCTTTAACATTGTTCTTTACTCTTAATTGTACCCATTAGGATAAGGATTATGATCAGAGGCTAATCAATCAAATTGATATGATGATCATTTTGATTGCTTCTGCATTGTTAACAATCAAAGTTGCATTGGTTTATGAAAGATACTCAATCATTATCATTGGCTCTTTATGGTAAATCAATTGCAAGTATCAGTAAGATTAATTGTGACAATTTAAGTATTAAATTGAAAAGCCAGACAAGGTTAACAAATAGTATCATTGATGATGAGCCCTTAGGGCAAGTAAATTGTTGTGACAGTTAATCAACAAGATCATTAATTATTACAATCATTAATTTGATCACTCAACAGCTCATTAACTTTCAAACCATTTAATCAAAGTGATTAGATTATTGAATTTAAAACAAGATGAAAAAAAAAGCTTTTTAAACTGTTACATTATTTAAATTGTTCACTTTTAATTAAAGCAGAAACAATTAACATTTACCTTTGTATCAATAATTTGGTTTAATTTTTTTAAAATGCGAATTTAATTAAATTTAATTTTCACAAGTTGAGATGAAAGAAAATTTCGTGTTGCAGTTTCAACGGAAAGTTAATTGTTTGTTAACCATTTAGATGAGTCTTAAAGGATTAACATTGAAATGATTAACACCGAAAGTGGAATTAGAAAAGTGTTTGAATGATCATTTAATCATTTTAACAACAGCGAACAATTAAAAAGATTGATCATTTATGAGATGAGCACGATTTTCTGTACTAGTTAAGTGATTAATTGAAGAAAAGTTTCTTTTTCTCGAAAAAAGTACAATAATTTTGTTTATCGTTAATATTGTTGATTAAATGGTTTCGAATGCGATTCTATTGTGAAAGTTTCCTGATTACAATCCTTGAACTTTTTACAAGTATTTTTGATTATCATCATCAATTAATTTCTTCAATACTAATAAATCACTTGAAGGGCAAAGTTTACATTCATCAAAAGTTTCGAGAAAATTATTTCTACTCTCTATTTGGTCAATGTCTCTGAATTGTGTTCGAAAGTTATTCTTAGCATGTTATTCATACGGTTCAAATTGATTCAATAGATAGAATTCAAAGGACACTCTGCAAAAAATTAGACTTTTTAGTTAAGAGTTGAGACTGCGGAGAACTATCAATTTTTGGCCTTAAAAATTGGTTGTTTTTGCTATAAATAGTTTGACAATGTTTGATGAAATAATATTTCATTCGAGCAAACACAATACATTCGGGTATTTATAACTTAAATGTAGTATAACTTTCAATTTACTTAAGTCGCAGCTAGACCATCAATTTTCAAGGCCAAAAATTGATAGTTCTCCGTAGTTTTGGTTAAATGACTATGATTGGACTTATTCAAACATCTCTAAGTATTGTAGTTTCGGAGATATTAGTCCACGAAGATCGCAGGCCACCCTTTCATTTCGGTAAAACTGTTGATCAAATGGAAAAAGTGCTCGATCCACGATGTTAACCCATACTAGGATAGTATCAGAAATAAGTTTCAGATCATTCTCGACACTAGGGACTAATCGCGGTCCATTTATTTAAATACAACGGAATTATGACCGGAGCACTTTGGACATTTTTTTCACCAAAACAAATCTAATTTTCTGTAAGGGCATGAAAAGTTGTCAATAAAATAAAAATTTCATGATCTAAAAATTTATCGTTTCTGAGAAAAAGTGACCTGAAGTTTCAACTTCGAACTTGATTTTCTCGAAAACTACTGATCAGACCAGAAACAGATAAACATATTCAGACTTCATATTTTGGCCCTACAAATATACAAAGTCTCAACTCTTAACTAAAAAGTCTAATTTTTTGCAGAGTGTCCTTTACCGTTATTCTTTTTTTTCCTTGTGTTTGTAAGCAGTTTGTTTGATTTGACAATTTAAAGATCAATCGAGTTCGAAGTTGAAACTTCAGGTCACTTTTTCTCAGCAATAATAAGTTTTCAGATGATGAAATTTTTATTTCATCGACACTTTACTTTTCATGACCTTACAGGAAATTAAAAGAATTACCCCTTTTCCTTTTTAGTAGCTAAAAAATCCTGGTGATCGGTCCACAGACTTTGAGTTTGCAACCACTTTCTTAATTATTAGCGCAGTTAATGATAATCAAGTAAAGATAACTTTTGATATCTAATCAGTTGACCATTTTAAGACCACATCACTCAAATAAGTGGACAATACTTATTATCATATCTCTGGGTTAACTATATCTCTAATTTATTATCATTAACTGCTTGAAGTATTTAAAAAGTGGTTGCGAACTCAAAGTCTTTTACTGTATTAGACCATTAATTTAATCATTGTTTTAGAACGTGAAACTTTATTAATAATTGATCTATCGATTAAGATCACGCATGAAAGAAAATATTAACTATTAATATTTAAAAATGATATCCAACGATAATAACGAGTTCAGATTAATATTAAAATTCGAGACGAGCGAAATCAATTAGACAAATTATTAATACTTCCACATTCACGCTTAAGGTCAACTGTAATTACATTTTTTTTAATATTCGTTGAACATATTCGATATTAATTGAGAATAAGAATTGATTCGAACAGAAATAATTTATATTCGATTGATTTAAATTTTGATAATATAAGTTTCAAGAGTGTTGGTTATTAAATCGATGGTTTCATTTGATGAACGAAACATTCAATACAAAAGACAATCAATGCAAGAATGTTAAGTGCTACAAAGAGCTTAATTAAATCAGCATAATTGGAATAAGTGATCGGTTCATATGCCATCAGGTGTAGCTCAATTTCATATCGCCAACATTGGGTAATCTACTGTTAGATATTTAGTTGAGGCCACTTTACTGCTCTACTCTGAGCAACACTACAATATCCTTGTTCAGCGCATGAATATGCAGACCGGATGATCCAGCGTTTCTTATTAAGCTCGTGTTCATAGAATAGCCAGAGGTCAGTTCTGTGTAATAGGAACTTGAGCTAATGTGGACGAGGAAATCGGTTCTTCCTTTATCGAGCTTTTCTTGGCAAAGAGTTTAATTACTGACGGTGATCGTCACTACTTTCGAAATGTACCAAAATTGGTCGATTAAGATTTTCTCGGAAATGTTTTGCCACTGATTTAATTGTGACGATTGGATTTTGGCCGCCGAAAGACTTATTGGCATTTGCGAAACATAGACTATCAAAAGAAGTGCAATTAACTTTGGGATGAGAATACAAGTCGGGCCATTTGTTTATTGGAGGTGGTCGAAATGATATCGAGTATTGAGTCGATTAAGAGACAAAGATTAAGCAAAACATTTATATGCCTTATTATCTAATTTCCATTTAGAATATAAAAAATTCAATAATTTTAATGTCCATGAAACCTATTAGATTTAATAACATCTAGTCGCCCTCAAAATTACATCTAGCCGAGTCGCAGATGAATTTGCCTCATTCTCAAACGTGACAATAATTCAGTAATAAATTGATTATAAATGCCGAAATATATTGATAACATGTTTTCGTTTTAATCATTTGTTCATAAATTTAAATGTTGTACCAATTCTCGGATATATTATGTATGTATTAATATGTATCGATAAACTCATTTTCATCGTCAAAAAGTTCAATGAGCATTATTTTCACATGATTGATTTAATGTAAACCTGAAACTGTTAAAACATCACGATTTTTTTTTATTTTATTTGTTTATACTTCAGAATATCAATTCAATAAAACAATTTCATGTTTTCTTTGATGACAATTCATTAATTTGTAAAGTAATTTAATAATTTTTTATTCAAATAAAATTATTATTCTCAATACATTTATGATGATGTCACATGAAATGATATGAATGATTGTCCCTTTCATCCAACTCGTTATGATTATGTTGAATTTCTTGATTGTTATTAGTTTTCTATTAAATGAGCTCAGTTGTTTAACTCAAAACTCTTTGAAAATTTTTACCATCGAATTTATTAATAACATAAACAATATGGTAACGATAAACTACAGATATTTCTTAAAAACAACTCTGGACTAATATAAGTGTAGAACAGTTTAATTATCTCACAATTCCAAAATGGACGATATTCCTGTGATTTAAGTCAGCAATCAAATCGATCAAAATAAAGAGTATCAAAAGCAAATTATTCATCACATTTTCAATCGACTGTCTTTCTATCTCCAGACTCAGAAACACGAAACTGAATATTTTAGTTCAGATTTTAGTTTGGTTAAGTTTTTATCAAAAATGAATTTTACTCAAGATCCTTTAAACGTTCTAATGCTTTTTAATCCATCGAGTCCATATGTAAAGTTATCTGAAGAATTAACTCTTGAGAATATCTTGAGTCGTGTTCCTATGAAATTTGAATATCTAAAAGATATCAAAAGCGATAATGAAACTTTTGATGACGTTTTAAAATCGGCCAAATATGACATTATTTTTCCAAAGGTAACGCCGTTCTTTTTTCGACCCGATGATGATTTGGCATTCGGCCCGGTGATAGAAAGTAGCGAATGTGTCTTCTTGAATATCTACCCAAATTCATCAAGTAGTACGATTGACAAGGGAATCTTATCATCGTTTGAGTTCATCGAATATTCAATTTATGTTTTCATGCTTATCCTAATTATCCTTGCACTGGTAATATATTTTACTCGATTGGGCTACTTTATCTCTGAGAAATCTTCATTTGGTCAATTTCTCATAATAATCAAAGGTAAATTTGGATTATTCTTGTTTCTCACCTGTTCGTTTTCTGTTCACTACATTTTCCATCTATTTTCAACATCGTTCACGACTCAATACTCGATATCATTTCGACCACCTCCAATAAACAAATGGCCCGACTTGTATTCTCATCCCAAAGTTAATTGCACTTCTTTTGATAGTCTATGTTTCGCAAATGCCAATAAGTCTTTCGGCGGCCAAAATCCAATCGTCACAATTAAATCAGTGGAAAACATTTCCGAGAAAATCTTAATCGACCAATTTTGGTACATTTCGAAAGTAGTGCGATACACCGTCAGGTAATTAAACTCTTTTGCCAAGAAAAGCTCGATAAAAGGAATAGAACCGATTTCCTCGTCCACATTAGCTCAAGTTCCTATTACACAGAACTGACCTCTCTGGCCTATTCTATGAACACGAGCCTTAATAAGAAACGCTGGATCATCCGGTCTGCATATTCATGCGCTGAACAAGGATATTGTAGTGTTGCTCAGAGTAGAGCAGTAAAAGTGGCCTCAACTAAATATCTAACAGTAGATTACCCACCATGTTGGCGATATGAGAAATTGAGTGCTACACCTGATGGTGCATATGAACCGATCACTTATTCCAATTATGCTGATTTAATTAAGCTCTTTGTAGCACTTAACATTCTTGCATTGATTGTCTTTTGTATTGAATGTTTCGTTCATCAAATGAAACCATCGATTTAATAACCAACACTCTTGAAACTTATATTATCAAAAGTTCATTGTTATTGAAAAAAAGGTTTCTATCATTTGAAAGTTTGGTTCATTCAATCAGAAAATACCATATCAATACTAACTAATTACAGTACTTTCTCATTTAAGTTACTCTCAAATAAGTTGATAAATTTCTCAACGGTCCCTAAAATTTATACTAATTATTGTACAGAGCTAATGACTCATAAGATTAAAGATCATCTAAAAACCCATTTGTCAATAGATGGCGACTAATAAAGTAATATCAACTTAAATGAGAAAGTACTGTAATAGTTAGCATCATTCAGTATTGTTGATTAATCATTTTATGTCAATTTTGATCGTTCTTTGGTTCCCTATTATCCTATTCGATTGCATGACCAGACTATTTTACTCGATCATCTTCATTCAATATATTTCTACATGTGATTCAAGGTAAATTGAGATTGTTTCTATCTTGTTCATTTTCTGCTCCACGATCCATTCACATCAACAAGTATTTCATGATAATTGTTACCATGTAAAGAACATGAATAGAGAATCAATCGATGGATCTTTTTTTCTGCATGTTCAAAAACTCGCATGAGACACTAGAATTGAATCAAATTTTAAACACTAACCATAAATTATTGATTAATATTTAGAATCCAAATGCACAATCATTAAATTGTGAAACATTTGATTGGTCTCATTGGTGGTGGTTCTTATGCTGAAGGATTTTAAAAGTATATTTAATTTTTAAATAAACTTTCATCAAACTATACAGTAGCCCAAGGATTGGTCATCTAAACAATAGAATCATAATTGACTAATATTAATTGAAAAATCAATTAACTGATCTACAAAAAATAGAAACTTTTTTCCTTTTCTTTATGAGTTTTTTTTTCATGATTTACTCATTTTAATTAATTTTCTTGTACTATATTTCATTGATTTGATCAGTCCAGCGGTGAAAACACCCTTGGCACTTTGTGTCCAACTTGATTTCCTAACAATTTGTCTAATTGCTTGACGAACATCATCAGAATACTTGTAACTTTGAGCGATCGCCATTAAAACATCATCCAAATCACGAAGTTTACCTCGACTTTCATAATTGAAATATAAATTTTGCTGAACTCGTTTCGGTAATAAACTTAAATTGTGACAAATAACTCGTGGTGATAAATCTTGAAAATAGATTCGTTGGTTACTGTTAAAAGATAATAATCCTTTCTCAATGGACGAACCAATATAAGGCTGATAAATTGATTTAAATTTCTCAATATTTGGTTTCACTATTTTGGCCACTTTGTTACGATCCTCACCAAAGGTCATCCGAAAATCGCCATCGTAGCTTAAATTGGCTATTGTTATAAACAATTGTTCCTCGGTAAAAGTTTCACTGAGCAAAAGGAGAGCTGAATAGAGAGCATTTTGATGGTTAATTGTTAAGGCTTTGGAAATACTTCCATCATCACTTGGTGAGTGAATAATTTTCACCGGCTTATGAAGACGCCCGGAGGTGTAAAGATGATCCCAATCGTAGAGATCATTGATTAGATTTTTTCGATTAATTATTCCATATTTAAGTAAACATTCAGCTCCATTATCATCTTTGATTGGAATCAATGTATTAAAATAAATTGAGGCTCCAAAATTATCTTGAATATTGGTAATCACTTTTGCACCGAAACGTTTTAAAATTGAATAGTGATTCTGGTTGGTTGATAAATTGTTCTCATGAAATTTAAGGCTATCGTCAACTACTACAATCATGTCAATCATTTTCACTTGCTCTTCAGATGATGATGGTGATGATGAAAACCATGATGTCAATTTATTAATTGGTTTAATCAGGCGGGAAGGTGAAGTCGTTGAGTTTACAGAATGACCAACAACACCAAGGGAAGACACTGATTGTTTAAAAACTGCCGATCCATAGGCAAAGGCGAAACAATAACCACCAGGTAAGAGAGAGAGTAAATTTTTCAGATAATATGAATTAACCAGAGACATTTAATCATCAAATTATGAATGAAAATTTAGCAGAAAAAAAACAACTAAGAAAATAATCAAAACAAATAATGTAAACAAGGAAAAAAAATTAGAAATCATATGTTAATAGAAATGTTTCATTCTACTAGATGGAGCCACTTGTTGATCAAAATTCTAAATTAAATTGAATTAAGTGATTAAAGATTTTGATTAAATGGAAAAATATTGAGAACAATTTAATGATACAAATGATTTATTATAATGACTTTGAACCTATGGAAGATTCAATTGTGAAACAATTAGTTTTGATTGTTTGGAAAACATTAATGATCAAGAAACTTGTTTTTCTCTTATCATACAATATTTACAGTTTAATTGTTGATATAAAAATCTGATTACTTGATTAGTTAATGAACAATTATATTGTCTCTAAGGGTAATTGTTTAATCAAGTTGGGCAATCTAATTGATTTTAGTTTTGAACAATTTGAGAGCAAAACAACAAAGTTGTCAACTTAATTCACCCATCATTTGTAATTACTCAATAATTATATTATTATTACATCAATTAGGTATGAGAATACATTACAATTATTAACAATTAATAATTAAATTCTAAAATTAGGTTATACAATTAAGAGAAAGGTGTTCAGTTGAATCAAGGAATTAAATTTGATTCCAATGGAAATATAAATATAATCTGTAAAGTAATTCCATTCACAGATTGATATTTATAAATAGAAATGAATTTAAAGTAAACCAATTAATGTTTAATCACGTCGATAACCAAATCATCGCAATTAACTAATATACTTTTGATGGTGTTTGTGATCGTTTTAATTACAATTAGATGAGATTGTATCGGTTGCAATTGAAAATCTGAGTCTTTTCCTAATTCCAATCAATCGCGTTTACTTTTTTTTGGTCTTGACTCTTTGGCATTTTGTTTTCTGGTTAATTGTTGGGTAACAATTAACTTTCGTATCATTTAGGTTTGTAAAATCTTCTGATATTAAGACAGTTTTTAATTGTTGAAACTTTCTTTTTCTTATTAAGTGTGATAATACTCGTTGTCGGTTTTAATGGTATCGATGATTTAATTGGTATCGTTGGCGAGCTGTTAAATGGTTGTAGAGTTTTAATTGCTTCCATCTCGTCGATTCTTTCACGAATAATTTGTTGAAAGGTGAGACATGAGATTCGGTGAAACAATGGGATCACATTTTCCCCTGTTCGAGCGGAAACTGACCAGTATTCAGCTTTCAATTTATCGGCGATTTTAATTGCCTCCGATTCATTAAACTCTCGAGCTGCAGGGGAAATTGCATCAGCTTTCGAGCCAATGAGAAATATAATCGGATTCTTGGTACATTTCAACACTTCCCTTGACCAATTTAGGGAATTAAGTAATGACTTGACATTAGTTAAATCGAAAACAATTAAGGCAACATTTGACCCTCGAAAATAGGAACTGGCCAATGAACGGAATCGCTCTTGTCCAGCAGTATCCCAAATCTAAATTGAAAGATAAAAATATAAATCACAAAGAACAAGTTAAAATTAGAACAATTAAAATTACCAATTACAGATCATTGATTAGCTGATTGTTAAGGGGAAAATTTAATTCATCACAATTGAAACAATTGTAATTGTAATTAAACAATGAGCCGGGCAAACATATTGGCAAAAGAGACTCAGATATTATTGTACTCAATGTAATTGATTAAGGTTATGACATTAACTGATTGTCGTGATTAAAAATGATTATCAAACTGATGAAAACCTTGTTAATGTCCAATTATTATTTAATTATTATTATTTAACAATAACCTTGAAAATCAACTCAATAAACGATTAACAATCTAGCCAATGATTAAGATGAAATTGTTTACATGATCATCAACTTAATGAACCGCAAGGAAATCTAATTAAATAGTGAAGGTTTATTTTCATGTCTTCTTGATTCAGTTCACTCTTCAATTAATATAAATATGATAATTTAAATTGTTCGGTTGGTGTTGAAATTAAATTAACTTCACTTTCTATTCTTTGTTAATTGTTAAATTAACGTAACAAGTTAAGTAATCAAGAGGATGAGAAGGATAACTGAAAGTTTAATTTTCAGATTTTCTTTTACTGTGTTGATTTTAGGCTGAATTTTTAGTCTAATCATTGCACTTGGATAATTAAAACATGGAAAACGAATTCAGTTTCATGGTAAACGGATATTTCCTCACTCAATTGAATAAGTTCAAGGATGAACATGATGAATGGGAAATAAACATTCAACGAAATTGATGTTCACAGAAAAAAACCAGATTAGTTCAATTGAGAAATTGGGTTCACTCAAGTTTCCTCGTTGTTGTTAACTAATTATAACCAAAATTCTGCTAATTAATTTTCCTCTGGAAATGAGTCATTCTTTGTACAAGGCAGATGAATTAAGATAATCTTATAATCCTATAATCTCTCCGAAAGATATAAGAGATTAAGGCCATTCAACACAATCAACTGTACTGAAAACAAGGATTAAGAATGAAAAGATTATTACTTAATTGTTACGAAACTGACCAAGAATTAGTTGATCAACTTCAAGGCATTGACAGAGGTAAAGGATTTTATGATTAGGGTTAATTGTTGTTGATTAAACCTTGATGATTATCAGCTATTGATTAACCTTGATTAACCGTCATCATCATAATCATCATCATCATCATAGTAATTGTCAACCCTAAGCCTTGATGTTAACCTTTTTCCTTGATTACCTTGTGATAATAACAATGAAACAATTAATGAATAATTATCGGAAAATAATTATCACAATTAAAATTTGATATTAAGAAAAAGTTTACAAGAAATAACAAGATAAAGCTAATTGTTATGGTTATATTATGATAATCAATGAGAAAGTTAATTCATTATTCAATATTATTGATTCCTAATTGTAATGAATCAAAGTTAACCATATTAAATTGTTGAACAATCAGCAGGATAAATTGTTCCTGAAGGTGAACCAAAAAAAGCAAAGATTTTTTTTTCTTCATTGGAAAACAATTGTTAACATTATTTACCATCGAATGCTGTTTCATCAAAGTTAATTGATTGTTACAATTAACTTAAACTAGTTCAATTTGATTAGAATCATAAAAACAACATAACAATTGTAATAATGAATTATTATTACAATCGATTTACAACTGAATCGTCACCTAGCCTTTATTAAGTTAATTCAGTTTGTCTTTATTGACTTAATTGTATAGCAATTGAATTTCAATTGTCAGTTTAGTTTATCAGTATTCAAGACAATTAACAATTATCTCTCTGTATTGTGAAGATGATCAATGTTATTGGACTTGTTGCTAATGTTAAGAGTTGAATGTGATGATTTAATAAGATGATTAATTGTTTTCAAGGAAAACTTGGTTAAGCTTGAATGAGTCAAATCAAGATAATTATCATGATTAGAAAGTCTCATTAATAGTAATCATAAATACAATGGAGGTTCATTCCAATTACCCTGAATTCTGGTAAATTGAGAGGTGATAAAATTAAGTTAATCATATGAGAGACTTAGGAAAACATTTACTCAGCAATTTTGATCATCGTCAATCTGATTACCATTTTCATGATAATTAGCACATCTAACAAAACAACGTTGATATTTTTTCATGTCAACTTACTTGAAGATCAAATTGATTGCCCAGAATTGAATATTTTTGAATCTCGAAATCAACACCAATGGTATCCTTATGTTCAAAGGTAAATTCATCACAAGATGATCTTTTAAGTAGAGATGTTTTTCCAACACCAACATCACCTACAAGAATACACTTTGCTGATCTTGTCCATTGATAAGGTAACAATTTCTGTTGATCACAATAATCAATCACCTTCCAATCAAAGGTAACTTCACGTCCATAGGGTGAGGCATCATTACGATAAGGTACCTGGAAACTGTTGATCTCCTGAGAGATCGTCATGATTATTTAATCTCGACCAGGAAACCCAATGGATCCTCGAGTTTTTCAACTTAAGGGAATGGAAGAAAAAAGTTCACTTAGAGTTAAGGTTTAAACGAGTGAAGATAAGAATGGGAATTGATTTAATCACAAGAAATTAATTTGAATTAAATGTTTCCTGTTGAATAAGTTGAAGAAGAGAAATTTAATCTAACAGAAATACGCGAATCCAAAATGGCGTAACAAACAAGAGAAATTAAAACAAACTCTAGCAAAGAGTAAACAATAGTAACAATTGTAGATTCCTTGTTGTTGTAGAAATGATCCATTAATTGAATAAGTGAATATGATGATGATGATTGAGGTAATTATGAAGACAAAGATACAGATAGAGAGGGAGAGGAAGAAGGAGAGAGTTAATTGTGATTAACAATCAATGACCAAAAAAAATTGAAGCTTCTACTTAAGTCTAAACTTTGAATGAGAAGATGGGAAAATATTTATGGCTTAGTCAAGCTCTCAGCCTATGAAGAAAATTGATCATAAAAAGGAAACAATTTAGTTAATTGTTACCCCACAGATCAAAGTTTTTTCACTCTCTGTTGCTGTTGTTGAAGGTCTAGGTTGAACATTCAAATATGTAAATGTATGGGTAGGCTGATTTGTCATCACTTGGGTACTAATCATTAGACTTGTCTCAGTATTCAGATTAAATATACATCAACTAATCACCCTGACAATTTATTTCTTCATCATCACAATTTTCTCCTACTTCCTCTCCCTCTCTCCCTCCTTCTCTCTCTCTCTCATATTTCTTGTAGATATTTACCTTTTTCTGAATCGACCATGAAGGTTATGAATATGGATTGAAGTTTCTTCCCATTTAGAGATGATCATGATTCCGTGAGACCTTCAATCATTTTTTGGTTTGTGGTTTAACATTAAATTGTTGGTAAATTGAATGTAACAATTAACGAAGAAGAAAAGAGCAAAGCTAATTTGGATTAATTTTCTTCTGTTTTGTTTGTTTTTCCAGTTAAAATATACTTTCATTAATCAACTGATTACACCTTTTATACTTAAGGTATTGACATAAATGAATATTCGAATGAATAATTAGCATCAACAATTAACAATCAAAATGAATTAGACGCTAATTTACTTACTAGTAGTTAATGTACATTATGAGTAACGGTTAGTATTTTCATTATTATTGTTCATTAATATGAAATCAAAGATATGAAGCAATTGGTTAGTATTTTTGAAAGTCGATACAAAAAATGTTAATCTTTTAAAATAAAATTTGAGAAATCAAACTTAAGTTTTTAGATTCAAGATATTAACTGCATTGATAATCTATTTCTGTATTTATATTTTTATGCATTTACCTTTGGACAACCTTAATATAATTTCCTGTTTTATGACCAGAATTGTGTTTAATTTTGAATAACCCAGTTAATCAATTATCGATAAACTGAACTAAATGGTTTTTAAAATTAGACGATTATGAGATGAAAGCTGAACATAAAAATTGATTATTTTGTCTGAATATACTTTTAATAGTTAATCTTTATTACACCTACCCCCGAGGTTAATGCTTTATACATTTCCATTGGACATAGTCCAACCGCCCTGAGGCCCTGAGCTAACTGCCCAGTTTACATGAATTTTTCAAATACAATTTTAAATCAGTGATTGAATAATTTGGTGGCTTCATTGGCTTGTCCTTCATTTGGTTGAATGTATCTAATGGTGACAATCATTTTGTTTAGTTTTTGTTTGTTTGTTTGTTTTTTTGTTTTTAAATATAAAGAATTTAAATATTTGAATTTTAAATCAGAATTTTTTTCAATCAAGCTATTTTAAATCATAATAATATTAAAAGTTATTGATTGTACTCCATAGATGGCAATGCTGTCTACTTTTCTTTTAGGGGAAAGTTCAACTTTTTTCGCTCCTGATAAATCCTTAACTTTACCTGTAAATTTAAAATTTAATTTCGTGTTATTATTGTTCATCTTATCACGTAGATCAAGTTAATACCATAAAACCACCTTACACTTATAACCAAGAAAATTGTTTAAAAGATTGAAATTCTAATATTATTTTCTCTTTTCTCCATACCAAATCTAATGAGTTAACCATTTTCGGACCTCAGGATCTTCATCACACCTCAACCCTTGGTTCCTAATTATAATCATCAAATTGGACATTTGGATAAGCAAAATAATCATCAATTAATCTATTTTATAAATTCTCACTTAATAGTTTATCTTTACCTGAATTTTTGCATTTCAATCTCATTGTAATTTCCCTCCCCAAGTCGTCTGGTACGACTTTCCTCCTTTTTGGAGGAGCTACAGTACTTCCCCTGTAGTATTAATGTTAAATCATCACCGCTAAGGTGACAATAAAAATTTCTAAAAATTTTAGACTAAAATATCTCTGGTCGACCAGATAATGTCGTGGTTAATATAAAAGCACGTAAAAGACCTTAATTATATGATATTCGGCAAAACATCTACTGTGCTATAGACTTTCCTTATAAACTTAGACCTTCTCACCATAAAAGATGATTATCTTGAAATCCTTAATCCATTAACGCTCATCTTACCTCTTTGCTAATGAAACTGTGTCTATTAACTATCGATTGTTGATAGCACGTTCTAAAATAAATAGTATTAAAAGCATTTAATCGTAAAATCATAACGAAAGTTGGGATGTCAATTCGATTAATGTAATTGATAGAAAATGAATTTGGAGCAAAATCTTTGACGAGAAACTGAACCTTTCATAATTTATTTTATTCTTCACTTTCAATATTGAAGCTTTGAATTTAGATTTCGAAGTTCAGACAAAATGAATTTCACACAAGATCCTTTTAAAGTTTTCTTCGCTATGTATGACCCGGGTGAATATCTTTATCGGAAAGTTTTGTTTTTCGTTATGTCTAATTTTTTAGGCAACGTTCCAATAGAATTCATATTTTTTCCTGAGAGCCGTAAAAATGAAAGTTACCAATATGTTTTCTCGTCAGGAAATTATGACTTGCTGTTTCGTTATGAAAATATACGTCATTTTGACTATGGATTTAGAAATGTGTCTATAAATCCAATAATAATGAGTGACTATTGTGTCTTCATTAACTTTTATCCAAATTCTTCGACCCTTCAATTGACAAAGGAATTCTATCTACATTTGAAATCATCGATCATTCTGTTTATCTACTCATCTCGTTGTTGTTTGTTCTTAGTTCAGTGTTATACTTGATTCGATCACATTCGATCATTGGAAGTGAAAACAGAAATAATGATCTATCTCGACTCCGAAAGTTTTCATTGTTGATGAAAAGTAAATTTGGTTTACTCTTGTTTCTTTCTTGTTTATTTTCTGGTCACTACATTTTCCATCTATTTTCAACATCGTTCACGACTCAATACTCGATATCATTACGACCACCACCAGTCAATAAATGGCCTGACTTGTATTCTCACCCCAGAGTTAATTGCACTGCTTTTGTCGAAGAAAATTGCCTTTGGCGAGTGAATGAAACATATGGCTCAGCAAATCCACTCATTCTTCTTACTAAAAAATCATTCTACGAATATTATTCCCAAAATTTTGATAAACCAATTTTATCACATTTTATTGAACACAAAGATTTAATAACACTGTTACAAATGTTTTGTTTCGTAAAGATTAATGGTAACGGGATAAATAATTTTCTCCACCATACTGGTACACGTTACTATTATGAAGAGCTTCATTCGTTAATTTATAGCACCAAGAATCCTTATAAGAAACGTTGGATTATTAAATGTTTATACGCAATCATTGAACAAGGATATTTTGATGCTACTGGAGAACGAGCGTTTAGAAAGATTCATGGTCCTTGGGTAAGAAAACAATACCCACAATGTTGGCGCTTCGAAAAGCTGAATACCAAACCTCAAAGTTCATATCGACCAATTAACTATTCTAATTTCGGCGATTTTATGTTTCTTTATCTGTCACTTAGTTTTCTAGCATTTTGCATCTTTATCTTTGAATATCTCATTATGAAATTTAACAATCGATGTCCAATGGTGTTTGGAAACCTTTAACAAGCAAAATGTCAATAATAAAATGATAAAATTTTCTTCTCATTTTTTAAGTCTCTTGTCCATCTATTGTCCAACAGTAGTAAGGAAAAGATTGCTTCTGGCTCATAAGACATTTCTGGCTCAGAGTTGACATCTCTGGCTCAGTTGACATTTCTGGCTCAAGTGACATTTCTAACTCAAGTGACATTTCTAACTCAAGTGACATTTCTAACTCAGGTACATTTCTAACTCAGGTACATTTCTAACTCAGGTACATTTCTAACTCAGGTACATTTCTGGCTCATATTAAAACCAACATTTCGTATACATCAGAACTGACATCTCTGAAACAGATTATCATTTAATATACATTTCTAACTCACACAAAGTTGACATCTCTAGAACAAGAGGGAGTATATAAGAAAGAAGGAGAATGAATTAAAAGTTAAAATGCATCTACTCGTGATAAATTTCATCATTCTGTGTCTACTCGTTATACTGTTAATAAAGAGTATCTATTATGGCAACATCAAAGAATCAGGGATCCTCCTCGCTTAAATATGACATTGTTAATGTAGTTTCACTGTGGAACATCGGTCCAATACAAATTAATGTGGATAATTCAAAGAGAAAGAAACGGTTCAATGCAGAGGTTGTAAGAAGAAAGGAAGGTGTCTTCTTAGTCTTTGCATCGGGAAAAGTGACAGCCACAGGATTCAAGAACATAAACGGAGCTGGTTCATGTTTACAAGAGATATACCCTGAGAGGTCTGTTGTTTTCGTTAAGGTTGTTAACATCACAGCCCACAGTTTTCTTCCCTATTCATTTGACACCCATGCCATGATAGCCAATTATCAAGATACAACATATGAGCCTGAGATTTATCCAGCGGTATACATCAAAACGGAGATGGTGACATTAATTTATTACACCACTGGTTCAGTGATAATAACAGGAGCCAAAGAACAAGATGAGATTGATACAGCGTTAACTATGTTTGTAAATCGAACGTCATTGACCCGCATTTAACATTTCTGAAACATTTCATATGTCAACTGAGCCAGAGATGTCAACTCTGAGCCAGAAATGTCTTATGAGCCAGAAGCAATCTTTTCCTTACTACTTCCAACAAAATTTCAAAGAGACTGTATGAGTTTAAACATGTTTTGCCAACAAAGTAATAGCGAGTTACAAGAATCAACATATAATTTCCCGTTTTATGACCGGAATTGTGTTTAATTTCGTATTACTGTAACAATAATTGAGTAATCAATATCTTTGATTACTCAGTGGAAAACAATTAACAATTAATTAATAATCAAATTTTCTGTTTATTAATCAAAAATAACAATAGCGACTTTTTAGATACGATCTTAATAGATCGTATCTAAGATTTTATCTTTCTCTTTCTTTTTCTCTTTCTTTTTTCTCTCTTTCTCGTCTTTCTCTTTTCCATATAAATAAGACGATTTAATTCATTGTAAATCATTAAGTTTATATCTTCGATCATGAATAGATGATTAAGTAAAAAATCCTATTCACCGAAGACATTATGATTAACCTAATAAAGTTCTTATTGAAATTATGAAGTAATATTGAATCATAAGTCTACCTGAGTTCTTCATTACTCAGTTGATAAATTATCGATAAACTCAACTGAATTGTTATTAAAATTGACAAGTTCAACAGTCTAATTGATTTTAGTTTTGAACAATTTGAGAGCAAAACAACAAAGTTGTCAACTTAATTCACTCATCATTTGTAATTACTCAATAATTATATTATTATTACATCAATTAGGTATGAGAATACATTACAATTATTAACAATTAATAATTAAATTCTAAAATTAGGTTATATTAGGTAAACAACTAAGTAATGGCCAAAATTTTTCGAGCTTACGTTTGGCTTGATTGTTGAAAACTTTAGATTTTGATTAATAAATTTAGTATAATTAGAGGTTAGATAATAGCTTTAACATGATACATAAAGATCATTTTATGATGATTAGTTTAATTACAATTAAATTATATCTAAAGTGATAGAATTTTGTTTTCGATCTTTTTATTAGGCCATTTTTCGATGAATATTGAACTTTCGAAGATTAAAATTTAAACAAAATGTTCTTTGGATTTTCGAGCTACTATTGGATAAATTTGAACAATTAAAACGATCAAGTTCAAATTTTATTTAAATTTAATCAAAAAATCATTTACCATTGATTTTCCATAAAGAGCCGATTTTCATGAAATTCTTGAATTAGAATCAATTTTCATGTAAAAATCTCCATAGACAATGTCTCTTCAATGGTAAATGATTTTTTGATTAAATTTAAATAAAATTTGAACTTGATCGTTTTAATTGTTCAAATTTATCCAATAGTAGCTCGAAAATCCAAAGAACATTTTGTTTAAATTTTAATCTTCGAAAGTTCAATATTCATCGAAAAAATGGCCTCCGAATAAAAAAGATCGAAAAACAAAAATTCTATCACTTTAGATATAATTTAATTGTAATTAAACTAATCATCATAAAATGATCTTTTATGTATCATGTTAAAGCTTATTATCTAACCTCTCTAATTATACTAAATTTATTAATCAAAAATCTAAAGTTTTCTAACAATCAAGCCAAACGTAAGCTCGAAAAAATTTTGGCCATTACTTAGTTGTTTACCTAATACAATTAAGAGAAAGGTGTTCAGTTGAATCAAGGAATTAAATTTGATTCCAATGGAAATATAAATACAGCCACGAAAAATGAGATGAGAACAAAAATTATGCCTAATAAGCATAGAGAGATAACTTTTTTCTAATTGTGATTACATTTTTCTGTTACTCTCCATTTAAATCAATTAAAATTTTCTTTTAATTTTGATTAAATTATCTCTTTATGCGTAATTGATATAATTTTTGTTCTCATCTAATTTTTCGTGGCTGTATAATCTGTAAAGTAATTCCATTCACAGATTGATATTTATAAATAGAAATGAATTTAAAGTAAACCAATTAATGTTTAATCACGTCGATAACCACATCATCGCAATTAACTAATATACTTTTTGATGGTGTTTTGTGATCGTTTTAATTACAATTAGATGAGATTTTATCGGTTGCAATTGAAAATCTGAGTCTTTTCCTAATTCCAATCAATCGTGTTTACTTTTTTTTGGTCTTGACTCTTTGGCATTTTGTTTTCTGGTTAATTGTTGGGTAACAATTAACTTTCGTATCATTTAGGTTTGTAAAATCTTCTGATATTAAGACAGTTTTTAATTGTTGAAACTTTCTTTTTCTTATTAAGTGTGATAATACTGGTTGTCGGTTTTAATGGTATCGATGATTTAATTGGTACCGTTGTCGAGCTATTAAATGGTTGTAGAGTTTTAATTGCTTCCATCTCGTCGATTCTTTCACGAATAATTTGTTGAAAGGTGAGACATGAGATTCGGTGAAACAATGGGATCACATTTTCCCCTGTTCGAGCGGAAACTGACCAGTATTCAGCTTTCAATTTATCGGCGATTTTAATTGCCTCCGATTCATTGAACTCTCGAGCTGCAGGGGAAATTGCATCAGCTTTCGAGCCAATGAGAAATATAATCGGATTCTTGGTACATTTCAACACTTCCCTTGACCAATTTAGGGAATTAAGTAATGACTTGACATTAGTCAAATCGAAAACAATTAAGGCAACATTTGACCCTCGAAAATAAGAATTAACCAGTGTAATAAAATTCAATACTTAATATGAATTCAAATTGATTTGTAAATTTTACTTCTCTTATGAACTTGGGGCTTGAATCGTTCTTACCATAAAGCATGATTATATTGTATTCCTTTCATAATAATGACTTAAAACTAAAATCTGGAGAAAAGTTGTTTCTTCAATATAGAGACCTTCAAACGACCTTTAAGTGACTTTTACTTCTCGAAAGATATTCAGTTAAATAGAGGTAGTACAAAAAGATCAAAAATGCCCTGTAGAAGACCTGACAATCTGTGTAAATGGAATTGTATCTATTAACTATCGATTTTTGATAGCACGTTCTAAAATAAATCAAAATAAAAGCATTTAATCCTAAAATCATAATGAAAGTTGGGATGTCAATTCGATTAATATCGTTTTATTATCCCTGTTAAAATGTTTTTGTTTCGTAAAGATTGATACCACTGTTAAATAATTTTCACCATATTGAAACACGTTACTGTCAATATCATGAAGATTTTTATGCCTTCATTTATAACCCCACGAATCCTCATAAAAAGTGTTTGAATATCAAATTTTCATACGCAAGTATTAATCAAGGATTACTGCTACTATAGATTGAACTTATAGCAAAATTCATGGTCCTTGGATAAGAAAATACTACCCACAATGTCGGCACTTCGAAAAGCTGAACACTCAACCTCAAAATCTATTTCGACCAATCAACTATTATAATTTCTCTGATTTTCTGTATCTTTATGTGTCACTTAAAATTTCTCGCTTGTAGTGTTTTTATCATTGAATATTTTACTATTAAATTGTCGAATTGATGTCAAAATTTAGAAAGAGGTAATTGTGCTAAATGGATAATTTTTAGGAGATTATTGAATTAAATTAATTTCGGATTTATTAATTAAACATATGGGATTCGGAGAAGCAGAATAATCAAAAAAATTTGATTTTTGATTAATTTAACTACAGCGGGTGATCTGATTTCATCGGATGATGATCGATCGCGGGTGATCAAATAAACTCTGAAAATTGACAAGTCCAACAGTGTAATTTATTTGTTTCTGCGACTCTTAGTTTACGAGTTATTTAGAAATCTGTCTAATTAGCGCTGACGCTCTGTAGATATTAATCTTGCTCGTCAGATGCCACTATCCATCTTTCCAATGAATTACGTTTTTCGAGATATGTTACAGGGTGTTCTCTTTTCAAACTTCCTTAAAAGATCTGAGAAAATAACATAGGCAAAGGTGAGTGAGAAAAATAATAATCTAACCTTTTACCTGTTACTCTGTTAGCTTTTTTTATGGAAGTTTTGTAAATTAACCAGTCTTTAATTTCCAATAACAAATCTATTACATTTGATTGTTATAATTTAATGGAGACAATTCTTAATTTTATTATAATTTCATTCCCAAGTATTTCGATAATTAATATTAAGAGGTAAAACATATCAACTTTGATAAGATTAATCAACGCACTAGACAAAGTTAAAGTTTTTCAAAGTAATATCAAGTAGATAATCGTCTTATTAATGCATTTGATTAATTATTTCTGATCGTAATTAATTACGTAACGTAATTATGTAACCACATGTAATTTATCTCAATTATAACCCAACTATAGTCCAAATGAATGGATTAAAGACTTTCCCTGAAATAATATCAATAGATTTCTATTGAGTGAGGTTAATCCATTCTTTAGATATCTCAATCTAGGAACAGACTAAACAAATGATCGGCCAAACACAATTAATCAAATTTTCTGATTTATCAACATGAAAATACATCTATTCCAGTAAACTAAAATAATTTACATAGAGATAAAATATCTCATGGAGTAAACATGATTGGTTCATCTCCATCTCACCGGAATGGAAAAGTGATAAATCATTATCATGATGGGAAAACATTTTGATTTGTTGAGCTTATGAAAACCCATTTCAGCCAATTAACAAATACTTATGGTGTATTTTCATTGATGACCCCTTTAGATTATGTGTGTGTGTGTAAACACCAGTAAAAGATATAAACCAAAATAATGGATTGACTTTAATCCTTCATCCCTATGTAACCTTCATTTGAATCCTTAATCTTCAAACAATCTCTTGCTTGAAACTTTGAGTTTCGTTTATCACTTTTGGCTTGTAATCAGAAATTGTTTTTTTCCCATTCCACCAACAATTAACTTTATCGGGAGCTGAAAAGAGAAAAGGAAAATATTAACACTAACAGTTGATTGTTTCCAATTAAAAGAAGAAGAAGAAGAAGAGTTTTAAATTGTTACAATAATCAACATGAGATGAGAAAAAGTGAACAAATCTCAATGTTTTGTTAATCTTAACCATTTAACGGTAAACATCATTTTCGAAAGCGGCAAAAAACTAATCATCTTTATCATACATCATCAATTTTATCTTCATCTTTCATATTTATCTCATCCTCATCCTCATCATTATCTTGAAATGTGTTATTTTTGGTCTGATTGTTAACAACAAGATGAATCCAAATACTTAACAAGGTTAATTAACGATTACCAGTTAGATATTTAAGTTTCAACACTGATGGTGAACAGTAAACTTGTCAATCTATTGATTGTCTACAGTTAACTGATTATTGTTATCATCAATTGGACAATTTTATCAAGCAAACATTATGACAACTCAAGTTGGACAGCAAAAACAATTACAATCTCTTGGACAATCAATCAACGCCAGTGGATCAAACTCACAGCAACCAATTAATCCAGTGACAATTATTTCACAACAACAACAACAGCATTACAATCAACATCAACATCAACACCACCAACGATTACCTGATGATAATAATCTAATTCAACAGATAAAAAATGAGCCTCAACATCAACACCAACAATTACAACATCATCCATTTCAACCTCACTCTCACTCTCAGCATCATCATCCATCTTTATCATTGCCTTCATCATCTCAACCTCCTCAAGATGCCAACCAATATGAAGTATTCAGTAAGTAATTACAATCAAACTAATTAATTACCAATCAATCATAATCAATCGTCCACCACCAAAGTACAAAAATATCTGTCGTTTCCAATCCCAGGTCTCTAATTAGTTTAATTTGATTTCTAATCTACACCAAAACTTTAATCATTATCCTTGACTCCCAAAGGATGAGAAAATTAAATTACTTAAACAATTAATCAAAGTGTTTGTTAAAAAAAACAATCAAAAAAAAAGTTCAAGTTAATCAATCAAAGTGAAAACAAATATTAAACTAATAAAATGATTGCAAATATTATGATTAACATACTTTATGTACGATCAGTAATCAACAATTTAAATTCAATTTAATTCACTTGTGCAATCATCTAATCACAATCAACTAAATCATTTTTCCTCAAGGATTAGTTGATATTCAAATTGAGAGTAATTCCAATACAATATTTATCTATTTTCTAATATCTACTATGTAATATTAATAATATATTTTGTCAACGAAATTGTTTATTGACAAATTTAAACTACAATTTAGACATAAGTGTTTCCAAGATTATCATGATTACAATGATTATTGTACATGGTACATTGAATAGATAAACTGAACTGAATTAGAGAGAGGATATAATATTTACTTAGAATTACAAAGTTACCTCTGGAAAAAAAGTTCTCATTCAAAAATTGAATATCTTTACATGGGAAAAATGAACTAGGAACTTGGTATTTACTCAACTATTATTCTGATTCAGTTATTCAGTTTAACACTTATCTCATTTTATTGATCAGTAGTTTGATTGTTTACCGATGATCAATGGGGAAAACGTTTGAGAATCATGAATTTACGGTGAAATATTGAATCTATTATGTTTAGAATTGAAGCTTTTCAACTGGTTAATTTTTCATCTTCTAAAATTGTTTTATCATCGACTGTAAAATTATCTGTGCTCATGGTACATTGAATTTCCTGTGAAATTTTCAGCAAATCGTTGGCTGAATATGATCAGTTAATTGTTTTAAGGAAAAAGGTGAATGATAAAAGTAATAAATTGTTTCCATTCCATTGCTGATCTCCGCTGATTTGATAATCCGATTTGAGGAAATTAATCAGCTTAATGTGATTAACTACTGATTGTGATGATGATTGATATCAGTTCAATGTGTTAGTTAAAGGAATCAACGTGATCATTAACTGATTTTTTCGTTCCAATTCATAACAATTAAGTAATTTAATTCTAGCTTCATGTGGCTCTTTAAACGATAACTTTTCGTCTTTCAGAAACTTCATTTCGACCATTTTAACCTGTGAACTTTTCGTTTGTTATTATTATTAAAACTCGAACCCAATTCCCTTGATCATTTTAAATTATCTTAGTTATCATTGTGTTGAATATCATGAATGGTATTTGTCTTTATGGTGAAGAGAAAGAAAAAAAAAGTTCAGTAAACAGAAAAAATTTCTTCTATTGACTTTGAGTGAATTACATGGTGACCATTGAAACCAAAAGATCTTGGAACTGAGCCATAAGCTTCTGAGTGATGATCAATGAGTTGTATTATTTTTATGGAAAAAATTACTGATATGAATTAACATAAATAATAGAAAGAACTGAAAATAATCAATCTATTTCTGTCCGGAGATTCAGATTCAGAGATGATTCTTGTCAAAGCAACGTGTTCATCATGATGTGACAGGTTTTTATTAAGTAACTCGAAAGAAATCTGAATCCATTTAATTGGAAAAGCGAGAAAATTATGAACAAATAACCTAAATAATAGTGAGAAAATATCACGAGATTAAAAGAGAGAGAGAGAGGAAGAAAAAAAGTTCTGATAAACTGAATACTCTGAAATGCGCCTGATTTGATATAAACCTCATGAAGTATTAGTATTATCATCATGATGATCCAAAGAAAATGCTATAGAAATTCAAGAACTGTTTCAGTTGATTTCAAGTCTTCCTTGAGTGTTGATAACAATTCATCCAATTCTGATAAATACCCTCTCTTTAACTTTCCCTCCGTATCGTTGACCTCCCACCAAACTTAATGAGAGTCAATATTACCTTTTTTTATATGCAATTGAGTTCTGTCTAAATCTACCAATGAAAATGTCAATTATTTCATTTTATATATTGTGATAACTTTATAATAACAAATGAAATTTTCATGCCAATTATCAGTTTAATCAAAGTGTTAATCTTGTCTTGATTGTCTCATCAATAGTAATTGAGTGAAAGCATTTTGGATAAGCGCAGCAATAAAGTTGATTTGATTTTCCATTAATGATTGTCTGTGTATATTGAAAGTGTCAACTAAATGATTACCAATTGTTTAATTGTTTAATTGTTAATTGTTTTCAAATTATAATCATGGAAAGAAGATATCATAATGTATCTTCCTCATCATCACCAGTACCTACCATTGTTACATTGGGTAATATTGATGGTCGATCATCAGTTACTCATACAACAACAATTAAAGATTCATCTTTATATCCAATGATTAACCATCCAAAACAACAACAATTAGCAAACATCAATAACAATCAACAACAACACCAGCAAATTATATCAAGTTCAACAATAAGACATGCAAGTAAATCAGAGCCTTCCCAATTAAACCAGTCTTTTAATCATCAAATCAACAATATCAATAATAATCAGAATCCAGGTTTCCTTTGGATCGGAGAATCAGCAATCTCAGGTAAATCAACGATGATTGATTGAACCTTAATTAACCATCCCAAGAATATAATCAATCAATTTTGGTTTAATCATCTTAATTAGAGTTCACTTTTCCATCATATTGTAATATAAGTTAATTGTTGGTGTCTTCTCGTGGTTGTGATTGACATTTCCATGTTTATTTGTTATATTATCGTTTAATCATGAACTTGAATGATATGTTAATCATAACAATCAGACTGAAAATTTTGTAATTCAAAATCAATTTGGACAAACTGTTCAACTGATTATCAATTGTGTTTGATTATTTGATTACTTTTATACCAAATGACAATCAAATGAACAACTTTCCCAGAATTGTAATCAGAATTATCTAGGAAATTAAATTCCTCAGATTTCTGATAACATGATGAAAAGATTTTTCAATTTCATGGTGATGATTATGATGATGATCAGGATCATCAGGATTGCTTTTGTTTTCATCTGATTTCCAATAAGTTACCATGAAGTAAAATCTGTCTGTTCAACATTCAACTATATATAAATCAAACATGATCATGAAGATAAATATATCAATCCACACACTGAATTTAGAATTGAAATGTCAGAATTTTTCACAACATTCTCAATCCAAATTGTTAATAATATCTCTTTCCCAAAGAGAGAGAGGAATAGATATTATCAATTTCCTCTGAACAAATGATAGAACTAAAAATTTTCTTATCTCACTGAATTTCAGATAAATAAAGTTGAAAGTTTCCCTGAAATTTACCATGAAAGTGAATAAAAATTTTTCTCTTCAAATGAAAAACAGAAATGATCAACTTTCCTTAACCACCTCAACTTGAAGTCTATTGATTTGCTAACAAATTACAATTTCTAAATTGTTATTGATTGTATTGTGTGTATGTGGATACGGAAAATTATCACCAATTAAAGTTAATTACGTTTGGTGATGAGATTGAATTTTCTTTACTCATTTTAACCTCTTTAACTACCATTGTGTTTGTACACAATTGATTGTTGAATTAGAAATTGGTTAACATGATTAATTATTTGTTAGGTTAAAATGTTTTTACTTTAAATGATTTATTTTCCTCTTTCTCAGTTTAGTGATTAAATTAATATCATCATCATCATCTTCATCCAAATAATAGTTATTAATGTAATCATTTATGATTTACATTCAACGCCCTTTGATTACAATTTATGGTTAACCTTTTTTTTTGCCTTAATCATTACAATTTAACCAACTATCACCAAATGTTAATTCAATTTAATGTTGATACAAAATATTATTCAAAGTTTCTATATTTATAACATGATAATGATGATAAACATGATGAAATTTCAATGAATGAAACTGAATCAACAATCATAATCATTCATCATTAAGATTGAATAACTAATCATAACTAATGACAAAACGATTTAATCAAACCTTAAATTGTTGACATGTTCAAGCTCGATGATTATAATCATGTTAGTTTATGTCAGACAAAATGATTAACCTTTCCAAATGAAATTATCAACTAATTTTGATTTCTCTCTCTCTCTGGTTAATCAATGGTTAATCATTAATCAATGACTTTCAATCATTTGATTTCCCTTTGATTGTCAAATCAATAAAATGAATAAAAATTGTAAAAACTGTCTAAAAATGATAAAATCATTTAAACTCAAATACTATTAGGAAACTATTACAATTCCTGTTGAATGATCATCGTCTAATCATCTGATATTTGATTATATTGTTGTTGTTATTATACTTTCACCGATTGTGATGATTAACAATTGATTAGATTCAATTGATTGAAATGATTTGACTTGACATCTAATACAAGTAACAGTAACTTAAGATATTATCAAGAGATAAACAAAAATAACAACAAAGATAAACATGAACCTGATACACTTTTCACTCGTCATCCTCATCATTTTTTTCATCTTCTTCTCACTTTATCTTCCTCATCATCTACTACTACTACTTATCATCATCATCAACATTTCTCTCTCGATATATTGAAACAAAATCAATATCAGATCAGTGATCATCATCAGCTTAATCATCAACGGTTACTCTTGTTGTTGTTGTTGTTTGATAGCCAAAAGTCATTGATGAACAAAGATGATGAGGATGAGGATGCTAAAGGAAGAGAAAATGTTCATTATACTTTTTCTTCTTGATCTTTTTTTTTCTTCATCATCCTTTTTTTTCATCTTCTTTCTTGTTCCATCAACCAAAGTATCAGTTGAGAAATCGTTTCACTTGGATAACTTATATAACTTTTTCCCCTTCTTCCTGATAGGTTATCACAACTTTAGCCTATTGTTATTTTGATATTGTTCGTTGGGAGTAACATTGAATTTCTTAATGTTTCTATTTGAAATCACATCATCATCATCATGAGAATCACATGTAAATATGTAGATAGCTATGTATATATAAAGTAATAATATTATCTATCATCATGATACATGAGTTATGATGATGATGATGATCAGGGTTACGTATGAAAATTGTAGGTTATTACATTATTAGCATCATAAACTCAGGTTGAAAGTTCAATGAATGAAAATTTTTATTTTTCAAGTGAAAAAAAAAATTTACACCAAACCGATTATCATTATGATGATGATAATAAATCATTGGAATTCATTTTTTTCTTTGCTGATTGTTTTATCATTTTAATAATACAATTTCATAGCGATTAACCAGAAAACTCATTGATTTAAATGAAGATCAGATTTTGGAAATGATAATCATTAGCTTTTTAGTTTAGATTATCAATCAATTTATCAATTCTATCAGTAATGATTAACTTAAATTGGTTTAACAATTAATAATCATAATCATCTTTCCATTTATTAATAATAGTTTTTCATGATGATTACCATGAATTCATAAGATTTGGTTGTTTTCCTATTGTTTTGATTTCTCTCCAAGAAATGACTGATCATTTGTGAATGTTTCTGACAAGATTCATGATTCCAATTCAGTTATATACTCATTCATAAGCTTTATGAAACTTATGATCATGATGATAAACTTATCATCTACATGGTTATCATCATCAGCATCTTCGTGAATCCTGAACAGTAAACCTTTAGCTAAGAATATGAGAGATGATCATGTTCACAGATTACCATTGGTTTCTACTCTTGGTTCCACTTTCTCATCTTCATCCTCATCCTTTTTCCTTCCGGACAAAATCATAATATCTTTCTGATTATAAGTAATTCTATTGATTGTTAATCGTCATATGGTTTGTGCTGATTAACAATTAAACCAACAATCATCAGATATTAACTCCTTTTTTAATTGCGAGCAAATTTAATCTTTGACATTTTTAGGCTTTTCTCCCATTAATGAAAAGTGAAAAAAATTGAGACCAACAAACCAAATTCAAATTATTGTAATTAATTAATTAGCTACTAATTTAATTGTTCTTACAGTTTAACTCCCTATTAATGGTCAAGTGATAATTTCTTGGTGAAAATTAATTGTTTTTCAAATGAATTGACAAAAATTTATGATTTCAATTGTTTTCCTACCAAATGATTACCCTAAACAATTACAATTGTTTCATTTGAAGTAATTAAAATCTCAATTTATCTAAAGGAGTTTACAATTAAAACTAATATTACTAAAATAGAGGTGATTTAAATGAACAACAATTAACAATTGTATTTTCTCATACAGGTAGAAGTGGTTATTATTATTACTATTGAATATTAAGTAGATGGAAACAAAAAAAAAGTAATCACAATTAATCAGATTCATAAAGTTTAATTATCCATGAAATTTAATTACACAAAGTAACAAGAAGCGAAACTGTTTAAGGCCAAGACTAATTAACAAAATCAACTGAGAACCTGAAACTCAATAGGAAACAATTTAAAAAGAGTAACAAAAAAGTTTACTAATTAATCCACTGGGATTATAATCTAAACTAATTGTTATATTGTTGTTGTTATTGTTGTTCTGTAACATCGAACCGGTTATCAATAATTTCCACTACGAAATTCTGAATTACATGATAATGAGAATCTCTTACAGAATTAGAATATCGAGAATTATAATTGAATAGATTCCCTGAATAGTAAACCGAAAAAAGTTTCCTGAATTTGTTTTTGCCTCCACTGAATTTTAAATTAGACCAAATTGCTCAGAGACTTATGATAATTTCTGTTGATTATATTAAGGCAATTGGTTTAATCAACTACAACATTTTGTCAAAATGAATTTACAACAATCAAGGATTTTTATTTACATTATTATTATATGGTAATCAAAATTATGGTTGGTTGATTGTAAATGTTTACTTCAAATTGATTAAATATGATTCAATTTGTTTCTTTATTTTGTTTGTTGTATATCACAATCAAACTTGATTGTAATCATACTAATGATTGTATTAATATTGTATGATTACTATTACTGATTAAGCTCATTTAATATTATGTCCCAAAATGTGATCAGGGGGAATCAGATTATCATGATTATCATGACGATCATTAAGAATGACGATGAACAAAACATATCCAACTAAACAATTACTTTATCAATGGGTGTGGACTTTTACATCTTGATAACAATTTACTGATCATCATTAGGATAATATCAATATTTGAAATCTGTTGTTGATTAATAACAATTTAATCCAGTTTAATGGAGGGATTAACATTTTTCCTTATTTACTATTATAACCATAGTGATGATATTGACCATCATGGATTTAAATTTAAATTATAAATGTAAATCAAATCACTTGATTAACTCAAAATTACGATGCAATTTATTTAATCAACATAATCATTCAATATTAAAGTTACTTTAACCATTCAACTGTAAACATGAGACTAATGATACAAATCATTGATTTCCATGATAAACCTAATCAACAATTTAGATGATCATAATTTATAGTTAGTCAAATGCAATCCAATTGCGAAAGGATTAATTACTAGATTAGTTAATTAATTTTTTCCTTTACTCTTAATAATATTTTTTTTTCCACCTCCAAACCTCAACTAAAATGTTGTTGTTGTTGTTGTGTAGCAATTTGTGTCTCTGTTATCATTAGTGCTTAATTATAATTAAGATTCTCAGCTTCTAATTAACAAGGGCAATTAACTTTTTTTTCATTATTCAGCTAATTCATTTAATTGTGTTAAGATGATTAGATGCTATAAACAGAGAGATGATCATGTCAAGGTTATGAAAAACAATTTCGATGATGATATTATTTTTTTTTCTTCATCTTCCTCGTAACAATGAATTGAATAAAACCAGAACAATTAACGAATTGCAATCATATCTTGTAACAATTAAACGAGAAGAGGAAAATTTATCATCTCAGAATTCATGATGATTGCTTATCATCCTCATTGGTGAAGGAAGAAACAAAAAAAATAGTTACCATTATTATTATTATATGATTATCATGATGATGAACATGAACAAAAATTCATTGCGTGAGTTTCATATCTATTGTATATATACACAGACTTTTGTATTTCCTGGAAGCCATGATGATGGTTATGATGAGAGATGATGAAGGGTATCATGATGATTGGAATAGATCCAGATATAATTCTGGAGAAGGAATTTTTTTCTCCTTCATGAAGAAAAATGTTCACCATGGAAAACATGTTGATAAACGAAAAGAAAATGAAAAAAAAATCTACAGATATTCTTTGTATTACTTTATCTTTACTTTATCTCTTCCCATTGAATGAAGTTTTTCAAAAGTTCCTGAGTCCACTGAGCTTTCCAACTTTACCACAAATCGTTTCATCATGAAAACTTTTAAATCTAAACATTAGCTGAACTTTTGATCATCTCATGAATATCATAATAGCCTCAAGTCCTTTACCTTAAAGAAACTTTTTTTTTCTTCATATTCCTCATTTACTTCATCGTTTTCAATTGATCGAAAAGTTCATGATAATGGTTCATTTTCAATGGTGAAACTTCATCAGAAAAGTCTACCTTTGTAACCTACTTAGATGATGATGAAATAATCTGCATCATTATCGTTATCACCTGTTAATGTGAAATCTTTTTCCTGAAAATTATTCAGTACAACCAGAATTTCAGGAAAAAAATTCAATTTTCTCGTTTTCTTTTTTCTTAGAAGAAAATTTTCTCTATGAAATATTCATCTGATTCATTTCCTACCCTGGAAACACCCTGAAGGTACTTGAAGTGATTTATGAAATTACCATGAACCAATAACCTAAATTTTCAATCTTATCTCAACAATCAATAAACTTGATTTAATTTATCATGATGACAATTTAATCTTTGTAATATCACCTGAGTGTAATACTGATCATCATTCAAGTTTATTACTGATTGAAAGTTAATTGTTTTACTTTTCTCTCTCTCTCTGAATCATTGATCACAATGAGAATTGATTGTTAATCAAGAGAAATAGAAATTACCTTTTGATTACGTGATGGAAATTGATTAAAGTAAATATTGCCACAATTGATTAACAAAATAAGCCGTAAGGTTGAAAAGTGATTAGATTGAAATTAAATTATCCCACTAATTTGAGCCTTTAATCAATCAATAAGATGACAATCAAATTGATCACATCAAATATCTCTTGGTATTTTTTTTTCCATTTACCATCACTGGACATTGTCCATACCTTTTCACCTTCACATATTAATCAGAAAAAAATATTTTTCTCTCTCAATTTTATCATCTTTATCTTCATTCTCATCTTCAATTTTTAGATACAATCGGACATAATCCTGGTCTATGTGCATTGATATTAACCGTTATATCTGTGATACTGATCGTGTTAACATTGCCTTTATCCCTTTTCTTTTGCATCAAGGTGAGTTTCATTAACTAATTAAAAAAAAGAGCAAACTTTAACTCAATCGATTGACCATTCACTCAAAAACTTTAATTAAAACTTTTAATTTGAAGATAATGATGACCAATCCAAAGTATTCCTCAATTAAAACTCATTTCAATCTTCATCTTCGATATCATCCACTTACACACCACCCTCTTCATATCTCTCTCTCCATCTCTCTCCATCTCTCTCCATTTCTCTCCATCTCTCTCTCGACTGGTCATCATCAAGTATCCATCACACTTTATTACATCATAACCATTGCTACTATTGGTTCCCTTGGTTACCAATTGAAAATTTCGTTTTTCTCTCTTCTACTCAATAAGATAACTTTTCATCATCTTCTTGATGATCTCATCTTTGTCTCTCTCTCTCTCTCTCTCTTATCATCCACCTCCTCCCACTCCATCATTCTGATTGAAGTATTTCATTTCCTCTTGCTGAACAATTTATCGTTTCACATGGAAGCCAATTTAAACCATCTCACTTTCATCTTCTTGACTCTTTCTCTGCCTCATCCATCCAAACCGATGCTTAAATGAGTGTACATGTGAGTGAGTATCAAATAGCTGATCATCTTCATCATCTCACATGAAAGATAAATGCCCATCATTATCTTTATCATCTCGATTTGCTCGAACTTCTTGAAAAAAGTTCTAAGAACTTTCCCTTCCCCCTTACCTTTGATTACATTTATACATATAAATTAATATCTCACCAATTGAAACCAATTAAGAGGTTAAATGATTAACATTTTGTTTTCTTTTGTATGATTAAGTTGTTACTTCTCATGTATAAGTTTCTAATATTAATTCAACTCTTATTTCTCATGATGATGATGCTCAGCATGATGATTTTATATTAGAAATGATTAAAAGGTTTGACAATTTAATTATAATTGTGATAACAAAAGAAATCAACAATTTATCAAATCCCTTTGGATGAATATAGTTGATAAAAGGATTGGATAGAAATCAAATTGATGAAACTTTGCTTTTTGTTGATAGTTTTTTTTACCAATTCAATTGTTGAGAAAATATTATTACCAATTTAGATCTTAATTGTTACTCATTAATAATCAATTGTATTAAATTGTATTTTTCTAACAATTTAAACAGAGGGAGATAAATTGAACTCATTGAATTGAAAAGATTTCATTCAGTTTCACTGATTCTATCGTATTCACATCATGACAAGAAAATTAATTCATCTTGTTAGTTTTTTTACTTTTCTCTTTCAACTGATCAACATCAATGATCTGATTAAATGAGATTAAGGTGATGATTAAGTAACGATAATAGTAAATTGGACTTTCATTCAATTTCCTGTTTCAATTGACCATTTAAATGGTAACTTTAAATTTTTCAATTCCATTTGATTATAATCATTTTCTGTCACAATTTAAACTCAGATAATCATGATGAGCCAACAGGGTGGAGTAGATATCGACTTATATATCCTATCATTACCTTGTATCTAATGTAAGGAGTGACCCCTAATCTAAAACGTAGACAAATGACCATTAGACTGACCACTGAGTTGTTTTTTCTATTTTGCTTCGTTCCATGTGATTGACCCTTGGCTACTATTATCTTTTCAATATCGAATCAGTTGGTCAATATAATAAACTTTTAAAACACTGAAAATCAATTGAACAAAAGTTAAATATTGGAATGAGAATTCAAATGTATTACAATATTGGTGATGATACAAGTTGATCAATTTAATTGGTAAAATGATTTAGTTTAATTAGAGATGATCGATTGATTGAAAAAATGTATATTCATTTGTAATCTGATTTATGACCAACAATCAACTTGATTATTTGACCTTAATCAAAGTTGATTGTCTCTATTATAATGAAAGTTAATAACCTAGTATATATTATTTTTGCTCTTATTTGAATATATTGTTACTTCAACTAATATTTACATTAATTTAGTTTAATCAGCTGATTACTATTTCCCATTAACTTGACCAGCAATTTGTCAATTTAAAGTTTATTGGATTAGCTGATTGTTGATATTGTGATTTACTGGTTCGAGTTTTAATTTGATTGTTGTTCCAATCTTACGTATTATTAATTTAGAAGGTTAAATTGATTGATAATTATAATCATCATGAGACTAATTTGATTTATTAACTGTTAAATCATGATGATGTAATCAGAATTGATTGTTATCTTGGCACAAAAAAAAGGAGGATTAATAATTTAACCAAGAAAGATACACAATCTTCCCAATGATTAAAATTAGCCTAAGGGTAATTTAGTCTGATACAAAACTGTAACCAATACAATCAATTGATTGTGAATCTTTTGACTCATCATATTTTAATCAATTGAATTCAGAATGATGATTCTGAAAGTTTAAAGCTAATCAACAAAACTACTCAATTCTAATCCGATAAAATAATCTTGAGATAACAATTAGCATTAATATGATTCCCTGTTAATTAGTTTTATTTCACCCACAATTAGAGTGTATATCATAATCATGGCGGAGAAAATTGTTCACCATAAATGGAATGAATTTTTTTTTTCATTCTTCCTCATCATCCCAACTATTTACCACCTTCATCATGATGATGATAACGATGAGAAGGAGGAAAAACAATTCGGTGAATTTATATCATCATCATCATCACCATTGTTGTTTTTGGTTCAGCTTGATATTGCTTTGAGATTCAATTAGTTTGGTTTTCTCAGTTCTGGAAATAGTTTCAACTGATTACTCCCATGTGATTCCATGTGTATTATTTGTTATTGTATTTATCATTTGTATCTCACTCTTTCAGCTAACCAAGGGAAAAAAAAAGAGTAGTATCATTATCATGATCTATCTTGAAATACACTTACTGACCAATGGCTATCATTTTATTACCTTAATTTTCATCTTTGATAAGGTTACATGATAATAAAGTAGCTGACATAAGATATTGTTAACTATTGAATAATATAACTGAAAATGCTGAATTCATGATAACTATTGGCTCTTAATGTGTGAAGGTCAATTGATAAATGGACAGTTGATGACAAGGGAAAACTGACCAATATTATTATTATCATGATGGTACATAAGTGATGATTAAATCTGCTTATGATTCTGAATTGTTCATGAAAAGTGATTGAGATACAATTTTCGGTATCTAATAGATTCTAATAGATGATATTAATTCACAATTCTATCCGGTCGATTTTCCCGAGCACATAATCAGTTAAATTGAATTTCCAATAATTTGTCTTGAAATTTGAACAGAATTTGATTTGATTGATTAACTTGCAATTAATCTGATTGTTACAACTTTATTTATATCTCATTCTTTTTTTCTCATTCGTAAATCAGTTCATTGATCTTTGTGTCTGATTTGTAATATTATATCATGAATTTATCTACTTTCATGGTTTTCTGTTATTGAATTGTTTTCATTTACCCGGAAATTGGTCATTTCCTTAATTTCCTCGTCGATTTTGATTTAATACAAACAATGCAATTGTCTTTTTACAAAATGCTAATCAAGATAACCATAAATCAGCTCAATCTCTTTAATGATTATAATCAACAACAACAGGTCACCACAATTAGATGTTTAATTTTATTTTTCTTCATCAAAAATTCATATCATGATAATACGATTGATATTAACATGGATCATTGGATAACCTTAAAGAGATGACGATTCCAATTTCTGATTATTATCTCATGTGTAATATTTTCACCCCCTGAGTTCGTGATAAGAATATTCAGTTTCAGAATATTGAGAATTATTCTGATAATGGAAAGAATCATATTCATAATATTATTTGGAATCATTTCCTTTTCGTTGGTCAACTTTTCTTATTTCCCAGAAAAAAAAGACTGACCTCTCACTCTCAGTATTTTCTGTGGTCATTTGTTGAGGAAACATTTTCTTGACCAATACGATTATCACCATCATTTTTCATCATATTATTCAGCTTCTTGAAACTTGATGATAATAATAATAGAATCCTAATCCTTTTATCTTGAGGTTTAAGGTAAATCCTGTAATCCTTAATACCTACAATGAGAAACTATGAATACTTAATTTAAGTAACATTTAATATGATCAATTTAGATTTAATTGTTTCACAAAAACGGAAAAGAGTAAAATTTTATCATTAAAGTATAACAATCAATTAATCAGCCAAACATCAACAACAATTAATTATTTAAAGTTTGTTTCATAAAAGCATTGGAGAGAGAGAGAGAGAGAGAAGTAAAAAAAGAGACAAATCAAATTAAGTTAATTGTTGTCCATTTAAAGACAATGGATAAAAGTTTTTGGGACTAATGGTTAATCCAATTGAATTACAATTGTCAGACTTTTCCAAGGAAATTGTTTCCCTTAAAGTTAATTATCCTCTTAATTATTGATAACATTTTGATATATATATATAATTTGGTGACCCAAATTGATATACAGGTTGTCCAGGAATATGAAAGAGCAGTTATCTTCCGGCTTGGAAGGTTAGTTAAGGGTGGGGCAAAAGGACCAGGAATCTTTTTCATCATCCCCTGTATCGATACCTATTCAAAAGTTGACCTCAGAACCGTTTCATTTGATGTTCCTCCGCAAGAGGTAAGTCTCTATATTACCCTTATTTACCCACCTTTCACCCAGCATCACCACCACCATCATCTCCATCATCATCCAACTCTTGTCACAATTTCATAGAACATTTTTATTTATTTAACGAATTTTCTGGTTTGTTGAATTCACAAGATTTAGTTACCTTCATCATCCTCATCCTCATCCTCATCTCTCTCTCTCTCTCTCTCTCTCTCTCTCTCTCTTCCTGTTCTCTTCATCCTCATCCTTCTCGGTGGGATTTTCATCTGACAAGATGAAAGCTCGAGAATACAAAGTTTTACCTTTAAAGAAATGAAAAAACTTTCTCTTTCCTTGTTAACATTGATTCCATACAACAATCAATATACTAGAAAGAGACGAAAAATTAAATATAACAATTTACATTTGATTCAATTTCAAACACAATTAACCACCACCATCATCAAGTTAGAATGAAATTAACTTAATCATAATCAAATTGCTGTCAAACAATTAACCTTTAATCATGTGCATCATCTCAACTGTTTACTTTATAATAATATTATTATTTTGGTTGAGCAAAACTGACAGAAAATCAATATCTAAATGTAATCAATTTAGATTAATTTATTATTTATATTTGTTATTAGTTAATTTCTTCATTCCTCTTTCTGATTAGTTGTTATAACAAATAAAGAACAAACTAATTACAATTAATCACAATTGTTGGTAATCATCATTATTATAATAAATGATAATCATCAATACTCAAGTCAAATAATCAAAAGTAAAAGTTTCTGATTATGATTGGGAATAACTTTTTATCCTAACTATTAATAATTGTATCGTCTAAATAATTGATCATCAACTTAATTAGTCCGCTTTAACGTGTTTGATTATTATTGTGATGGATTAACTCAAACTAATCAAAATATAACAATGATGACCATCATCATCATCATTATCATGGATTAAGAAAATCAAAGTCTCAATCATGTTAATCTCATTTTCTTATAATGATAATCCGGTAAAGTAAATTGGTTGAATGTATATTCAAGTTGCTCTGATCATTATGGTAATTTATTAAATTGTTCAAGTTAATGAATAGAAATGATTAATTGTCATGAAGAGGAATAAAAAAAAAAGATTTCTTTTCACTTAAAATCATAATAACAACAAGGAAAAAAACATGATAAAAGTTCAGGTTTACATGAGATTAAATTCACTGAGGAAATATGGAAATGCCAAAGTAACAGGATAATATTATTTACCTTATCATGAAGTTTAATCAGCATGAATTCAGATCTTAAATTCAGATACCATGATGATAATCATGAGACAAAGAGAGATGAACATTTTTCAATCATCAGGTCTCATCATCATGTAGATATTTTTTGCTCATCCTCCCTTTTAATAGTTAACATTACAATTAAGGAATGGGCATGTCGAGCATTCTGATTATATTCAAACAATTAATTATCGTTGATTGATTAATTTTATTGTTATTCTACCTCCTTTTCCTTAGTCTCAATGCTTACTCTTGAAATGTTTCCTCTTCCTGTAACTTTCTCAACATTAATCATTTAAATCAAGATAATTCCAAGAAATTGAATTAAGTTCATTCTCAGTTTCCAATTAATTTAGTAACTATTACAATCTTGAAACTTGAAATGCTCTCTCTCTCCATGTTGATAATACTCTCTGAATGTGATATTTATTTACAGAGGATTTCAGAAGTTGAGTGTTTATCTAAATTGTGTTTGTTGATAAGTTGATGATGACAACCTTGTATTTTCATTTTCTATTGTTATTTTTTTTTTACTTCTTTCAGAACTTTTTTTTTCATCATCATGAAATCTTTCTCATGGTAAATATTTCTTGTGTAGTAGGATGATAATGATTATGAGTTATGTTAAATCAAGTTTGAATGATGAATGATGATGGTAAACTCCCTGTAATAAAATCAATAAACGTACAAAGAAATGCAAGGAATCCTGAGTAAAGAATAAAAAGAAAAATCGAAAATGTTATATTTTCGAAATGAGAACTTTTTTCTTTCTTTCTCCTTCGATTGATGGAATCTCTCTCTCTCTCTTCGATGTATCTATCGTATGTCTCATGATGATTTTCTCATGTCACTGATTGTTTTTTGTTTTTTTTTTCTCTTTTGTCGTTTTCGTAAACCTTACGAAATGTATTCGTAGATTTTGTCCAAAGATTCAGTGACCGTTGCCGTCGATGCTGTTGTTTATTATCGTATCAGTAATGCAACGATCGCCGTTTCCAATGTTGAAGATTATGGTAGGTCCACTCGTCTACTGGCCGCTACTACTCTTCGTAATGTCCTGGGTACCAAAAATTTGTCCGAAATTTTATCCGAACGAGAATCTATTAGCCATGTTATGCAAAGTAGCCTTGACGAAGCAACTGACCCTTGGGGCGTAAAAGTTGAACGAGTTGAAATGTAAGTTTGACCACTAGACTTGGAAAAGTTTCTCCATTGTATTTTATCATCATCGTCATCATGTTAAGATTCATCTGATTCTTTCCACTTCAATCAATCTTTTCATCGTCATCATTTTTATCCAATTTTCTTTTACTTTAAAAATTGTGTTTCCTATTGAAAAGATTTTCTTTACTTCCGTTTTTCTTTCCCATTGGATAAGTAAAATTGAAACTCATCAAAAGAAGAAAAAAATTAATAGTAATTGTCACTTGATAGTAATTGTTGTCCATCCAATGTTTACAAAACCATCATGAAACATTTCATTCGATACTCTTATGGTCATCATTATCATCACCATGGTCATTATCTCACTGATTACATTTCATCTTGTGGAAACAAACAGAAAACATTATCACCGAAAGTCAAGTTTTTGTCAGATTGTTGAAAGATTTAATCTCTTTACTAGCTTATCATTGTTAATCTTCAACCAGAGTTAATCCATTGTCTAAATGTCATGAAATGTTTGATAAAAAAAAAGTGAAAGTGGTCAACATTGACGTTGGTAAATAACTTGCAAGGGTCAGTTTAATCTAACCCTTTCCAAGTAATTAAACTTTCCAATTACTTTTCCACCTTTTTGATATTATGTTGTTGCGATGATGGAGAAGATGAGGAAGAAAAAAATTCTTTTCTCTTTCCAATATAATCCATTTTAATCCATGAAATTTACTGAATTTCATCATGTAAGGTCTCAGGAATGATATTATATCATAATGATTATGATGATGATGAACATGATAATGGAAGAGCAGTTTAACAATGAGAAAGTCCAATAGTAATAAAGATCACAAAGGAAAAGGTATGTAAGGTAAACTTTTAGAACTGGACATTGTGTCCATTGTCCAGAAAATGAAAGTTCCAATTCGATTTGTGATTCTTTGATGATGATAATGACCACGATGGTGAGAACGAAACTTTTCGAAAAAAGTTTCGAAGATAATCTCTCTCTCTCTCTCTCTCTCTATTCTTCTTACTTTTGACTGGTCATTGGTGGTCATTCAATTTCTTTATGATGATTTTGATATTCAGCTGTTTTTTTGTTTGTCTTTCCACTTCATTTGATTTATTATTATTTCAATCTCACTCTCTCACTTTCCTCTCTTTCTCTCTGTGTGTATATCTATTTGTACTCAGACCATTGGTCAGTAATGGTCAGAGATTTGAACTTGTTGAGATTGGATAGCCAGTTGATATGCTTAATCAGCTACAAGTTTCTTGCTTCATTTTGATTTATCCATTTCTTTTCATCGACATTTCAACCTGATCCTTTTTTAAAGAGATTAACATGATTGAACCTGAGAAATCATTTCCATCATCAGAACTTTTATCTTTCTTGAGATTCACTTTTGTTGAGTTTTTTCAATCTATGATTATAATGTTTTTCTCATCTTCGCCATGAAAATGTCTTCCAACTATCCATCCATGGTAATTGATGAATGGCGATAGAACTTATTTCTCACTCAACTTCCTCATCTTCTGTTTATACATACATGGAAGATGAGAAAGAGAAAAAAAGAATCTTCGAATATTCTATTCTTTTTTTGCTTCTATTCTTCTTTTCTATCATAAGAAAATTTCCTTTATTTTCTATTCGATGTTTTTTTCTCCTTCTTATCATATTCTCAGATCTTAGTGGTTACACTTGGCTGAATATCTTCATCACATATTCACCACAGATACGAGTATCACCACGATCATCAATTGATTCGTTCATTTAAATTAGCTCAATTTACGTTAACTAGTTCAATATTATCTCCTAATTTTCCGATATTCATCATGTTAGAAGCTCTTAACTGTCATATTAACAGATTCTTTCAATTTGATTGACAGGAATTCGAAACTTCATTTGTTCAGTTTGTTGATTGATTTTTGCTTCTTGTATTAATTTGATTTGTTGTCGTTTTCATGATAATTACAGTAAAGATGCTCGTCTACCTGTTCAATTACAACGTGCCATGGCTACGGAAGCGGAAGCAGCTCGAGAGGCTCGAGCCAAAGTGATCGCTGCCGAGGGAGAACAAAGGTAAATTTTAAACGATTTGATTGATTAACTTGAGATTTTCAAACTCTTTCCACTTTCTAAGCCTTTAAATTGGTTAATGAATCTTTAGTTTAAGTTTCGAGCTTGAGAAATTAAACTTTAATCAATAGACCTCGAATTTTGGGTTTCGTAGTCAACTGAGCATTAATACTTAATTGCTGCTTTTTAGTTTGAGCTAATTATTAATTGATACATTTTCTTTGTGATTACTATTTCCAATTCTAGAGCATCTCGAGCATTAAAAGAAGCGGCTGAGGTCATTCATGGCTCACCAGCGGCTCTTCAGCTTCGTTATCTTCAAACTTTAAATTCAATTGCGGCAGAAAAAAACTCAACCATAGTTTTCCCGTTACCTATTGACCTTTTTCGTGGATTTTTGAACTCTGGTCGTTGGACTGAACCTTTTCATGGTAAAGATCAACATCATGAAGGTAATGATAACCATCAACATGGAAATAACAATAGAAAAAATGTTAACAATAAAAATCAATCAAATATTAAGCCGAAAGTGACTTTTCCTGATGAACCAACAAGAGGACAATTAAACAATAATCTAAGCGGTAATCAAATGACCAATGCTCAGACCAATGGTGATTCCGTAAATCAGGAATCATTATCAACAATACAGTCACAATCACCAATTCAACCAATCCCATCATCATCATCAGCAATACCAATACCGAGCCAGTCAAACAATCAAGTTGATCATCAATCTTTAATTCAACCACAACAATTTGAATCACAAGAAAGCTGAATTTACAAATGATCTTAAAAATTAAAAGTAAATCAAATCAAATCTCTATAAATAAAACACTAATTTTTACCTCAATTATCTAAGAAAATTTTGTTCTCTTTTAAATTGTTACAATTAATAAAAAAGAAAAAAAAGTTTCTCCAAATTCGTAAATAAATTAAATTTATTTCCATTTTATTTCCATTTCATATTTGGCGCCAAAAGAAAAGAAAAGTAAACATTGATGACTAACAAAAGGAACAAGAAGTTTTTTTTTCATTTTGAATGTTTGTTATTCTCTAGTTAGTTAATTGATGTCGGGTTAATTTATTTTACCATTTAATTGTTTAAACTTTGACCAAATCGTAAGCTAAACTGTGATGGATTTGTTAACTAAAATCACTTCTATTCTGGTTGTTCTGATCGCAATTGGATTCACAATATTCACCAATTATCCAGCCCCACCGATCTCACCAATTATGTATCAATGGCAAACTTGGGGATCATATTTAACTTTTAAACAATTTAAAATCTTTTATATTGGTAAGTAATTAATTGTTTAGGGTTACCTTGTTAATCATCTTCTAATTTTACATGTATTGTGTTTGTTTCCTTTTCTTTTTTTATAGACAAACAAATCAACAATGGGACAAAGACATTATTATGTTTACATGGTTTTCCAACTTCAAGTTTTGACTATTTTAAAGCTTATCCATTTTTAATCAAAAGCTTTGATAGAATTGTTTTTATTGACTTTCTCGGAATGGGTTATAGTGATAAACCGGTAATTTAACTTGTTAATTAGTATTGTTGTAAATTGTTCTCTGTCCTTTTTGTTTTGCTCTTCGTCATCTTCATCGTTTCATCTTCCTCCTTTGGTTTAATCATCTTCATCATTCACTTTTGTCATTTACTCTAATTGGAAATGTTTTCATTCATTATTATTCTTGCTTTTTGACAGACTTTACATTCTTATTCAATCATGGAACAAGCAGATATTGTTCAATCGGTAATCAATCACATTGGACTTGACGATTTTCATATTTTAGCCCATGATTATGGTGATACAGTGACTCAAGAGATTCTTGCTCGTATAAGGTTAGTTTTTGATTGATTTTGAAAGGATTAAAAGTCTCTCAAGGGAAAGGATTATCTCAATAATTGAAATTGATCTTTTCTTTTCTTTACACATCTTTAGAGACGATGGCCTTAATTTAAAGATTAAATCAGTATCCATGATGAATGGAGGAGTATTTCCATCAATTCATTCACCTTTAGTTATTCAAAAGGTAAATTTCTTAACTTTTTTCTGGTCATCAGTCTATGAATTATCATTTTCTTTGCTTCTTCTTTTACAGCTACTTCATCTTCCAGTGATTGGTTATCTTCTTGGAAAGTTAAACAATAAATATACGTTCGCAATCAATTTAAACAGAGTTTTCGGAAGTGGAACCAGTCCAACGATGGCCGAGTTTTACAATTTCTGGGCAATTGTGCGACATAATCACGGATACCGAGTATTCGGTGATATTTTAGCCTATCTGGATGAAAGATTTGAACATGAGGATCGATGGGTTTCCGCCATGAAGAATACCAAGATTCCATTGCAATTTATTTATGGTCCTAGTGATCCAGTTAATCCACCGCCGTTTGATGTGATGTATCATAAATTGATCTACAATCCATATTTTGATAAATTAGATGAAAACATTGGACATTATCCTCATTTCGAGGCACCCGAAGAAGTCGTCAAGAGATTGAATCTTTTTTTACAAAAGAAAGGACTTTAGTATAAGTGTACAGTTTGATATGTTTATTATGGTGTTTTGACAAAATAAATCTAATCGATATTATCACGAGATGAAATTTTCTTTAGATTCACTTGAAATTAACCAATTCTTTGGGTCCATTTTAAGGGATAAATTGAGTATCTGGAATTGTAATACATTCTTGCTCTTCTTGATTTGATTCCTCTGGATTCTCATCAGGAGGTTGACTAATTAAGCAAGTATTTTGTCTGGATAATCTTTGGTGCATCTCATCGTGATACTTTATGGATTCATTAATCATCTGGAGATATTCACTCTTTTCCTTTCGAAGTTCATCTAAAAGTCCTTTTAATTCACCATTTATTTCTGGTTCATTTAATGCTGAGGCCTCAATGTCCTCTAGTAGTTCATTTCTCGTTGGACGTTTAAATTTGCCTTCCAAATTTGCACCATAGGTTTTAGCGTATTCTTGAGGAGTTTCACTATAGCCAATGGTCAATTTGTTTTCTCTCATCCTCTTGTTTTCATTTATGGCTTGTAGTTTTTGCACTAATTTCGCATCGAATGTTGAAAAATTAGAATCCACAGTTAGTAAATTGTCAAGAGAATCAAAGAATCAACTCAATACTTACACATTTTGTAACCAAATTCAACCATCTCTTCAGTGTCGGTAATAATTTTCTAAATGAAGCATAGGAGTTTCAACACAATCACTAATCATTTGATATTTTCTTTCAATTTCTTGGTAATTTTGTAATCTATCCATCAACGTGTACAGTTGATCTTTAGATTTCTCAGAATCTTTTTTCGCATTGTTTCGGGCATATTCCAACTGTTTAATTGTTTGATCCAATTCCATCAATCGCCTTCTGATGGCGTTTTTTTCATTATCACTACAAGTAGAATCGGCTGTAGAAGAACCCGCCTCACTTCGAGTGGTACTAAGCGAATCTTCACTAAAGGTCAAAAAATCTTCACTCATTTTCGAAAACAAAAATCAAAAGAAAATCTAATCAGAAGAAATTTAAACTAATCCAGTCCAATTGAGAAAGAAAAACAGTCACTTTGAACGCGTTCAATACACAAACGAACAAGCGAACATAAAGAGAAGAGAAAAGAGAACAAAAAGAGAAGCGCCTAATTTGTATTATTCGAATTGTTCTTTTTTTCGGTTGTTCGTTTTAAATTTAGATGAAAATTGAAATTGCAGGATAAACATTTTAATAGAATAAGATGAGATACATAGAGATAATTTATCTTCTCTGGTTCTTTCCCAACCCTCGTTTTCCTGTGAGTAAATGTTTAGGTTTAAGGTTAACAATCTTACGATCACCTTCACCTTTTCTTGCTTGACGATTCCTCTTGGTTTGAGCTTTCTTGGCGATCGCTTTAACTTTGACCTTTTCTTCAATATCACGGACACCAGATTGATCTCTTGGTTTGGTTGAGCTACTTCGAACTCTTCCTTCACTATCTGTTCTCAGTTTTTTCAATGGTGGACCTCGAGGTCTTGGTGCAGATGCATCGGCATAATGAGTACCCTCATCATCAGAAAATTCAACTCCAAGTTCTTCAAACTCGTGTCGTAATCTGGAGACACTTCGCTCTCGTTTACGTCCAGTTCGTGGTAATTTAGCTCGAGTAATTCCTTTATTAAGCCAATGCTCATTCTTCAATAATGCTTTCTTATGTCTAATCTGTCGAGCTAAACCTCTGATCTCTTTCAATTGTTCATCTTCTTCTTCAAGATTTGGATCGTAATAACCATTGGCAAGAAGTTGACGTTCCTCTTCCTCTAATTGGGCCAATTTCTTTTCCAAATCGGCAAAAACGAAATCAGCAATATTATGACCTTCCCAAATTTCAGGGATAACGTCAAACTTTTGATCTCCTTCGATATCATAACGTTTTTTAAGATCTAAAATATAATCATCGCCCAGTTCTAGTTCAATATCACGTTCTGTCTTCTTTTTAGGTTTAGACATTTTAACATCATCATCATCATCGTCATCGTAATCACTATCATCATCTAATTGCGATTTCTTTTTGCTTGCACCTTCAGGAATAAAGGGTGGCCGTTCCTACAAATCGAATCAAAAAAAAAATTCAAAAGGTCAATACAAGGACAAGAATAACAAGTAATAAGTATAATAAACTTACCTGTGAATCTCTTGGATGAGGAATAGCAACGTGAAGTCGATTAGCGACATTTTCGATACTTTTACTTTTCATCTTCATCTCAACTCGATGGGCAAGAAGCATGTCACAAGCTTCATTTCTGACTTCGATAACACCTTCCTCAGCAACTGTACTCATATCCATGATGGTTAAATTGTTTTCTTGTTTCAATTTTTCTAATAATTGTTTCCTTTCTTCCGGTAAATCGGCCAGTTTAACAATATCACTCTTATTGTTGACAATAAGGATCGGCTTATTGGTGAAAAGTGGTTGTAAACTTTTAAACAGACTAAGTTGATCTTCCAGACTGACACCACATTGTTCAGAGGCATCGATTACATAGATTATACAAGATCGTATGTGTGCCAATGCAGTAATTGCCTGCATTTCAATTGTATTACGCTCTTCAAGAGGATGATCTAAAATACCAGGAGTATCAATCACTTGCCATCTAAGATATTTATAGTCAGTGTGTCCAACATAAAGTGATTTAGTTGTAAATGAATATGGTTGAACTTCAACATCAGCTCGGGTAATTTTATTGATAAAACTGGATTTACCAACATTTGGAAAACCACAGATTAACAATGTCCTTGTATTAGGGTCAATTGAAGGTAATCGAGAGATATGTTGACGAACTTGCTCCAAATAGATTAAACTATCATTTTGTCGTTTCATGATATTTGCCATTCGTCCCAATGCTGCTTTCTTAAGCTGTTTACATCGATAAAGAGAATCTCCATATTTTAAAAGTCTAACATAATCACGAGCCACACTAATTAGAAATTGGGAGAGAAAAAGAAAATGTTGAATTGGTGACTGGACACAATATTCAAAATATAAATAAAGAGCTAATAATCCAGATCAGAGTTTAATCTAGCACGCTAACGGGATTCAAAAACTACTGAATTAAGTTAATGAACACTTTATACGTGCCACCAATTTAATGGTAAAGATAATGGAAGATTAAAATTATGGTTATCATACTGAAGATGACAAGGAGTTGGAGAGTAAGAGGTAAACCTTTCCAAGATTGGACTTACTTATCAATCAAATGTCGAGCTGTGTTAATTTGACCCAAGGCCAGCTTGTAATGATCTTTATCGTAGAGAACATTAAGTAAATCAGCGAAAAATGGATGAATTTCCTGTAAGGTGAAGAAAAAGAGAAAAAGAAAAATTAAAAACCACGTGACAAAAGAAAAAAGCAAGACACATGGATAAGATGAAAAAGATCAACCAATTTTGGGAGATTAAC